TGTATTTTTTCTTTTTTTCTCAATTTTTAAGACCCTCTATATTTTAATCTGGCCCTATCAAGCTGGCTAGGTCATCCTGTATAGTGATGAATAACTTTGGTGGCTAGCAGAATCTTTTTGCATCGCTTCTGCTCTCAGTGGGTATAGTTGAATATTTTATCTTCAAGTGTGAAGTTTGCTGTAGGGTTTTTTCCCTTCTAAATACCCATAAGCCAATGATAGTTGTTCCCTTCTATTCCTAGATTACTAGGAAATTTTATTATGAATGAATTTTTTCAAAGACTTTGCCTCTGTTTATTGAGACTATCATATGTTTGTTTTCTTTGACATCATTTGTTCATTGATTATTTTTCACATGGTAGACCAAACTTGAATGCCTTACATAGATCTAATTTGGATGGCATTTATTACCCATTCATACCTGACTGATTTGATTTGCCACTATCTTGCTTAGGAGTCTGTCATCTGTGTTCAGAGATGAGATTCATCTGTTTTCTAGACCCTTATCAGTTTTTGTATACAGGTTATGCTAGCGTTATAAAATAACTTCCTATTATCTTGAAAAAATTTTATATGGGAGTTATTGATGTTATATTTTTCTTAAATATTTGGAAGAATTAACCCTGGAAATCATCAGGACTTGGAGTTCTCTTTGAGAGAAGGATTTTAATTATAGATTTAAGTCTATAATGGATATAATCCTTTCCAGGTTTCTTATTTCTTCTTTGTCTGGTGATAAGTAATATTCTTCAAGGAGTTTAAACATTTCATCTAAATTATCATACCAAATTAGTCATAGTATACTGGTTAAATTCTAACATCTATAAGATCGGTAGTGATATGCCTATTTTTATTCTTTGAAAAACATTTCCCTCTATTTGACTTCAAGGATTCTACATTCTCTTGATTTTGAGTCTCCCTCACCAGTCACTTTTTCTATCTGCTTCGCTGTTTTCTTTTCACATCCTATACCTCTAGATGTTAAAGGGGGTCAGGACTCTTTCCCTGCATCTTTGTACTCACTCTCTTGGTTATCTCATTCATTTCAGTACCTAAATACCATCTCTCTGTTGAAACATTTATACTTCTGGTCTATACTTTTTCTCTAAACTCCAGGGGTAGATACCCAAATACCTCAACGTATCCACTTAGACATCCAATAGGCATCTCAAACATAACATGTCCCAGCCAAAGCCAAAAAGTCAATATTGATTCTTTCTTTAGTTACACTTCACGTCTAATTCCACAGCAAATCCCACTGACTTGACTTTCAAAAAACATCCAAAGTCCTCTGACTTCTGAGCAGCTACATCACTGTCATATGACTGAAACATTGTCTCGGGTCAGATTGCATTGCTCTGTCCTGAAAACTTTCCAGTTGCTCCTATTTCAGATAACTTTCCATTTCCAAGGTCAAAAAGGATCTTAATCACTCCACTCCTATCATCTACTGTTATTCACCCCCTTGCTAATACCATTCTATGTGTGTTTTTTCCTATGTCTAGAATTCTCTTTTTCATATCTACATGGCTTCTTATCTCATCTTCTTTGCATCTTTGCTCAAATATTACCTCCACAATAAAGCCTCCCCTTTCTGAAATTGAAGCCCTATTTTAGGTTTCTTCATAGCATATATTGCTATCTGACCTTATATTATATTTTTGTTGCTTTGGTTATTGAAAACAATTACAACAAAAATATAGTATCCAAATGATTTATGATATTAAAAAACTGATTGCCTCCTCCACTGTTAGGGCAAAGACTTCATCTTGTTCAGTCCAATGCTTAAAACAGAATCTTAATAAAAAGAAGGTGCTTGATAAAAATTTGATGAAATAATAAATCCATGATGATGACCACACAGAAATGTTATCTTCTGAAACAAATTTTAACTTGGAGTATTTATCACAGAGGTAAAACCCTGAAAAACATAGATGGAACTATATTTTGAATTCATGAAAGAATGTTTACTATCTGGTTAGAAATATAAAAGAGTGAATAACCTATGTATATGCAAAGTAGAGAGGTATTCACACAAATTATATAAAAATTGGGAACCCAAACAATAAATGCAATAAATTTCTGAAAACTCTTTCAATACTTTATATTTTATCAAAAATTAAAAAATTAAAAACCCTGGACAATGATTTGTGGTCATAAGAAAACAATGACTATAAAAATATCATACCCAAATGATTTATGATATTATAAAAATGTACCTCTTAATTGGTATAGCAATTACATTCTAGTTCAGAATAACAATATGGATATTTCCTCTTATGTTACATTTTAAAAATCGAGCAGTTTTTTATGGTATTTTACATGTTTTTATATTATTTTCAATTCCGTCATTCCTTCTTTGGTTTTGGTTAAATTAACAGACATTGTATTAATGTAATCTCTAACCTTTATTTAAAAACTAGAGGCCTGGTGCACCAATTTGTGCACGGGTGGAGTCCCTTGGCTTGGCCAGCAATCGAGGCCTATCAGGGGGGCCTGCGGGTGGGAGGGGCCCTGGGAGGTTGGCTGGCTGGCCCCACCCCTGATTGAGGTAGCGGGGGCAAATCTAGGGCGGGGTTGGCAGGGGGAGGGGCCACGGGAGGCTGGGAGAAGCTGATCAGGGCCTGGATCAGGCCTGTTGGCCTTCGCAGTGCATGTCATAGCAACCGGTCGATCCAGTCATTCCGCTGTTCCTGTCACTGGGCTTTTATATATATAGATTGACCTCAGGAGTAATTCAGTTAGCCTTTTTCAATTTTTAACAAAAATTTTAAGATGATTCATTTATCAATGATTACTATGAAAACACTGTGCTAACTTTTACCTAACCAGTTCAAGAAGCACCATCCTTGGTATAAGGATTACTTACTAGCCTCTGAATCTCAATTAACCTGTAAGTAAAACATTATCTTTATTTATTTATTTATTTATTTTTAAATATATTTTATTGATTTTTTACAGAGAGGAAGGGAGAGAGATAGAGAGTTAGAAACATCGATGAGAGAGAAACATTGATCAGCTGCCTCCTGCACACCTCCTACTGGGGATGTGCCCACAACCCAGGTACATGCCCTTGACCGGAATCGAACCCGGGACCTTTCAGTCCGCAGGCCGACGCTCTATGCACTGAGCCAAACAGGTTTCGGGTACCTTTAATACAGATGTGAAAACATGTGTGGAGAGGTTTTTTAAAGTCAGGGACAGAGTCAAGTCTTTTTGTTATGTCTAAAATGGTACTTTATCTTCCAATTGAAAATATTTAGAAGATATGAAGCAAGATCATTGTACTTGGTTCCATATTTTAAAGTACTTTTAATCAATATATGTAAATAATAGAATTTTTTAATTGTTGCACAACTCCAAAGCCAAATAAAATAAAGCTACCATTAAACCTTTTCAGTGGTTCTCTATGAAAAAATAATTCCTTTTGTATACTCTAATGTTAGTGTAGGATGCATATCAATCCTTTTTAAGAAGTCTGAGCTGATTAGGGAAAGGCTTGGATGGTTTTGGGAAACCGATATAAAATAGTCTAAATGGTTTTGAAGGCGCCAGGTAGCTAGAAATAATTACCACAGTTAGCAGTAATTATGGACCAAAGAGCACCTAAATCCAGACCACTTACATGTCTAGAAGTTCCTCACGTCTCATAACTGCAGAATTAGGACTAATACTCTATATTGAAAGCTTTTATAGCTAATATTTAGGGATAGTTAGAAAATTCTTTGTGTAGGTTACTGAGCATTGAGAATATGACCTAGAATTATGGAGCTGTGGCCAATCAGAAGAGCCATAGACAAAGTGATCATTCTCATGTCAACTCCCTAACATGTTCCATGACTATAGAAATTGAAGTAGAGAATGTAAAGGAGAACATACCAATTGGAGGCAAGGCTCTGGACAACACTAATTCAAGTGCCAACACTCTTCTTAATTTCCAGACGTTTATAAGTGGGCAATGATCCTCTCTTCTTAGAGCCAGAAATATGTCTGAAAATAACCTATTATACATTTAAAGGAATAGATAGATAGATAGATATAAGCTTCATTTTGAATTAATAAAAATTACATCATTAAAATATAATTCTCTGATAGAAAAGAAGAATTACACAAGTTGAGATCTGAAAAGATCAAAACAAGTCTAAAAATTTAAATCATGATAAAGGAAAACAACGGGGCAGAGAGGAAAAGAGAAATGACCACATAGCCTTGCCTCCAACTGATTAAGCCTCATTTACATTCTCTATTCCTCTTTCCATATTAATGTCAGATAGGGATACGCTCAGAGGAAAAATAAAGCAGAGCAAGAGGACAGAGAGCAGAGGGAGCTGCTGCTTTAGACAGAGGGATCGGGAAGGCTCCATGCCCCAAGTTGACTTCTGGGAAGAGGAAGATGCTGCTGTGAAGCCTTCTGTCCAATGGAGGAACACTTCAGTTGTGAACAATAACGATGAAACCGTATGCAAAATATTTTAATTATGTGTACCTTCATAATTAAAATCAATCACTTGATTTTAAAAATCAATAAACTGGGGATATTTCTGAAAAGACCACCTGAACTTGAACATGAAAACTAGTAAAGCAAAATGGGCTTGGGGGACTTCACCACTGACGTTCCTCAAAGAGGCTCATGACTAAACTACTTTTTAAAAGGGTATGAGAAAGTCAGCACACTGACCAGAACAGCCCCAATCTTCCACTGGCACATGGTACCCAAGATGACTCTGCTATTTTCCCAAGAAGGAAATAATATCTATTTGTGATTAGGATTTTGATGGAATTAATCATGGAATGAGACACAAAAAATATGTCAAGACACAAAGTTACAAAATGGCATATTACTATATATATATTAAATAGTGTATGAGTACGTACACTAATTTTGTGTGTGTGTATAGTTGATAAAAGGATGGGTTATAAACACAGATTCCTCTGAGCAAAGCCTAAAGGATCCATATTGGAATGCTTCCAATGACAAAGACTGATAAGCTTGACTTGTATTGTGTTTACAATGCAAAGTGTTCACAATTAAGTTGTTTATTTGTCTGCATTTCTCTCAGACAGTCCAATATCACAGACTGCTGTGCCAACAGACACATAATATAATACTTGTTCTCCTGTTTTTCAAGTGACAAGTGGTCGCAGAGGCTCTGGGTGGCCCAGCAAAGGCTGCAATTCTGGGGAAGCAACATCAAGATGCCACTTGGAATCTCTTTCTTAAAGTCAGAGTTGTCCTCTGAAAAGACTTGGGTGGATACTGCGAACCTGAAACACCAACCAAAAGTAATTCTCATTAAAATGTTAAAAATTCCAGCTCTTAAAAGCATTGTTTTGTATAGTCCATGCCGATGATATTTTTTAAAAAAGAAAAAAGGTATTTAATGTCACTTTCACACACACCAGCAAACAGTCACGTGCAAAAACTGCCATCTGCGGTTGAGAAGAAGGAAAGGGGTTCGTCCCCACCAAGACTCGGTGCTGGCCATGTGTCCTTCCAGGCAGGTGGGGTGCAGGGACCTTCTCCTCAGAGGTGGGTCACAAGGCCCAGGCAGTTGAGTAGGGAGCTCTGTCAGCCCCATGGGGGTAGAAGCGAGGTCACCTGCCTTCCCGCTATTGGGGACACCCCATCAGCTCCACCTCTCTTTTTTTTTCCAGCCACAAAAACAATATATTGGTAAGTTAATAGCTCCAGATGATTTTTGACTTGGAAGCAAAGGTAAGAAAGAGACCACATGCTTGCTTGTCAGAGAAAAAATAAACTAAATCCTTAGAATTAGAGAAACATCTCTCTTGATGCACCCTCATTCCCTTCTACAGAAATGAGAAAGGGACTCTGACCATCAGTAATAATTGTTGACACAAGTTTCTGAGAAGAGCCTACACTGACTAGTATTTGGTGAAACATCAAGAGCGTGGAGTTAAAGCAAATTCAGAGCCCAGTTCCATCTCCTAACCTCACTCCTGCGTGTCCAACAAACTAGCTGAAATCTCCACTCAGCATGCTGTAGTCAACGTCTCCAAAACAATTCATCAAAACTCCTCGGGTTCCCTCTTTCAGCATCACCCACGGAATCATAGGTATCAGCCTTTACTCCTTTCTCTCTCACATACCACAGGGTGTTCCTCCCAATTTGGTGGCTCATGCCTCCTCCAGGAAGGTTCTCTGCCCCTTTGCCCACCTGAATATCCAGCCAGGTGGCCCTGCTCGCCACTCCCACAGCCCTTTCCATCTCCCCACCAGCCTGAATGTCCCTTCAGGCTCAGACCAAAATGTCCTTGGTGTTTGAGTCTCTGCCTTTAGAGCAGAACTTGGCACAGAGTGAGCAGTTAGTACATTGTAATTTATTAATAAACAAACTTGGGTGTCTAATTCTGCTTGATCATCTATGATTCTGTTAAAAGCAATACTTGATAATGGAGCATGGCTGTCTCTTAGAGAAAGAACTATTGTCACTGATGATAGCGAATAGAGCTAGGGAATGTATAAGAAAAAAAAAAAACAATGGCAAGGTACAGCAGCCTGGAGCTATTAAGGATTGGAGAAAAATCTCAAAGAGCTAAAGAATCTTTGACATCACTCTGCTACAGAACTATAGAAGGGTGAGGCAAGCACTGACAAACCTGTGTTGTTCCAATGCTTAAATTTTGCTAAATTTATTTTAAAATTATAATATATGAAGTGTTTCCCTGAAAATAGCAATTATCCTTTACATGTCCAATCATCTGTAATACAAATGGTCATAATTTATATTATGAACATTTACAGCAAACAATATCTTTCTGGCATCTACCTAGGTCCTTTCCATACATTTTTCAAATAATTATTTTATCAGCCAGCAGGTTATAAAAAAAAAAGAAACTGAGGCCCAGAGAGAGATTGAGACAACCCAAAGATTGCTCGGCTGGTAGGGGGCAGAGCCACAATGGAAACCAAGCATTTGAGCCCAGCCGGCGTGGCTCAGTGGTTGAGCATCAACCTATGAATCAGGAGGTCATGGTTTGATTACCAGTCAGGACATATTCCCAGGTTGTGGGCTCAAACACAGTGTGGGGCATGATCAGTGATTCTCTCATCATCGATGTTTCTCTCTCTCTCTCTCTCTCTCTCTCTCCTCCCTTTTTCTATGAAATCAATAAAAAGGTCTTAAAAAAAGAAAAAGAAACCTTGATTCCAGGGTGGCACACCTCAAGACAATGCCATGTGGCCTCCCTGAATAAAAATGTTGGTCATAACGGAAGCACGTGTGTGACACAGGACAAGCACTACTTGGTTCCCTGAGGAGCCGCTGTCCACATATTTAGACTCCAGTAACATTCTTTTCCAAATGTCATCATGTCTATGATGATTTGACCATGTGCTTTATTTTTCATTACCCTTGACTGTGTTTGAATGATTTCACAAATTTGATATTATCCTGTCATACATATAAGCAGTTGCAATGGTGTGTTTGTGATCAGGGGCAGTTAGAGATGAAAAAGTATTTTGCAACAATAAAAGTTCATTTTGATCAGTCAGGGGGGCAGACTCAGTGAGCACCAAAGCCCCATTGAAGCAAGTCTTGCCCTGGAGGGGTGTCTCCAGCACAGAAGTTCTCCAACTGCAGACACAGCTGATTCTCACAGACAATTGGCCTGGAGGTCAATTCCTCCCAGTGATACCTACAACAATCAAGGCTTAACTACAACAAGACTGTGCACAAAGACCACAAGGGGGTGCACCAAGAGTGTCCTCCTCAGGTAATTGGGGAGGCTGAACCACTGGGCCCTAGAGGACACTTAGCACAGAAAACCACTTTATCAACACAGGGAAGCATAAAAAATGCAGAGACAAAGAAAAAGGACACAAATGACAGAAATGGAGGAAAGCAAACTACTGGATATAGAGTTCAAAACCACACTTTTAAGGTTTTTCAAGAATTTTCTAGAAACTGCCGATAAACTTAATGAGACCTACAAGAAATCTAATGAGACCCTCGAGGTTGTGATAAAGGACCATCTAGAAATTAAGCATACACTGACTGAAATAAAGAATATTATACAGACTCCCAACCGCAGACTAGAGGATCGCAAGAATCAACTCAATGATTTGAAATACGAAGAAGCAAAAAACACCCAACCGGAAAAGGAAAATGAAAAAAGAATCCAAAAATATGAAGATAGTGTAAGGAGTCTCTGGGACAGCTTCAACCATACCAACATCCAAATTATAGGGGTGCCAGAAGAAGAGAGAGAGCAAGATATTGAAAACCTATTTGAAGAAATAATGACAGAGGAAAACCAAGATGGCGGCATAGGTTAACGCCGGAGTTTGCTGCCTCGAACAACCACTTCAAAAATACAACTAAAAGATGGAACGGACATCATCCAGAACCACAGGAAGGCTGGCTGAATGGAAGTTCTACAACTAGGAGGAACCGAGAATCAGAGGAGGCGCAGTGCTGAAGTAAAATACTGAGGTGCGGAGTGCGTGCGGCGCGGGCTGGTGGCTGAGGGCGCGGTTGACTGTTTCAATCCAGAGGGAGCCTCAGACTCTGAGCTCCAGATCCGGGCGAGTCTCTAGGGACCCAGACTTAAACGGGAGAAGCAGGACTGTCTGGCTACAGTCCCTCCGAGGTTTGCAGCGGTTGCTGGGACAGAGAGGCAGAGCCCCTGGGGACGGACTGAGAGCAGCCATAACTGCTCCCTCCTCCGCCCTGTTGATCCCGTGGGACCCGCCCCGCCCAAGCCCTGCACAGAGGCATTTGCCGGATAGCCTCAGGCAAAGGCTAGATTAGCACCTCCCTAGAGGACACAAGTTCTTCCACTGCAGACATAGCTGATTATCACAGCCAGTCAGCCTGGAGGTAAAATCCCTCTAGTATTAACTACAACAATCAAGGCTTAACTACAATAAGACTGCGCACAAAGACCACTAGGGGGTGTACCAAGAAAGCGTAAAAAATGCGGAGACAAAGAAACAGGACAAAACTATCAAGGGAGGATATTGAGTTCAGAACCACACTTTTGAGGTCTCTCAAGAGGCTTCTAGAGTCTGTCGATAAACTTGATGAGATGTACAGGAAATCTAATGAGACCCTCCATGGTGTGATAAAGGACCATCTAGAAAGTAAGCATACACTGACTGAAATAAAGAATCTTATACAGACTCCCAACAGCAGACCAGAGGAGCGCAAGAATCAAGTCAAAGATTTGAAATGCGCAGAAGCTAGAAACACCCAACCGGAAAAGCAAAATGAAAAAAGAACCCAAAAATACGAAGATAGTGTAAGGAGCCTCTGGGACAGCTTCAAACGTACCAACATCAGAATTATAGGGGTACCAGAAGATGAGAGAGAGCAAGATATTGAAAACCTATTTGAAGAAATAATGACAGAAAACTTCCCCCACCTGATGAAAGAAATAGACTTACAGGTCCAGGAAGCGCAGAGAACCCCAAACAAAAGGAATCCAAAGAGGACCACACCAAGACACATCATAATTAAAATGCCAAGAGCAAAAGACAAAGAGAGAATCTTAAAAGCAGCAAGAGAAAGAAACTCAGTTACCTACAAGGGAATACCCATACGACTGTCAGCTGATTTCTCAACAGAAACTTTGCAGGCCAGAAGGGAGTGGCAAGAAATATTCAAAGTGATGAATAGCAAGAACCTACAACCAAGATTACTTTATCCAGCAAAGCTATCATTCAGAATTGAAGGTCAGATAAAGAGCTTCACAGATAAGGAAAAGCTAAAGGAGTTCATCACCACCAAACCAGTATTATATGAAATGCTGAAAGGTATCCTTGAAGAAGAGGAAGAAGAAGAAAAAGGTAAAGATACAAATTATGAACAACAAATATGCATCTATCAACAAGTGAATCTAAGAATCAAATGAATAAATAATCTGATGTACAGAATGAACTGGTGATTATAATAGAATCAGGGACATAGAAAGGGAATGGACTGACTATTCCTGGGGGGAAAAAGGGTGTGGGAGATGCGGGAAGAGACTGGACAAAAATTGTGCACCTATGAATGAGGACAGTGGGTGGGGAGTGAGGGCGGAGGGTGGGGTGGGAGCTGGAAGGAGGGGAGTTATGGGGGGAAAAAGAGGAACAAATGTAATAATCTGAACAATAAACATTTAATAAAAAATAAAAAAAAAATAGAAAAAAGAAAAAGAAATAATGACAGAAAACTTCCCCTACCTGGTGAAAGAAATAGATTTACAAGTCCAGGAAGTACAGAGAACCCCAAACAAAAGGAATCCAAAGAGGACCACACCAAGACACATCATAATTAAAATGCCAAGAGCAAAAGACAAAGAGAGAATCTTAAAAGCAGCAAGAGAAAGAAACTCAGTTACCTACAAGGGAGTACCCATACGACTGTCTGCTGATTTCTCAACAGAAACTTTGCAGGCCAGAGGGAATGGCAAGAAATATTCAAAGTGATGAATAGCAAGAACCTACAACCAAGATTACTTTATCCAGCAAAGCTATCATTCAGAATTGAAGGTCAGATAAAGAGCTTCACAGATAAGAAAAAGCTAAAGGAGTTCATCACCACTAAACCAGTATTATACGAAATGCTGAAAGGTATCCTTTAAGAAGAGGAAGAAGAAGAAAAAGGTAAAGATACAAATTATGAACAACAAATACACATCTATCAACAAGTGAATCTGAAAATCAAGTGAATAATCTGATGAACAGAATGAACTGGTGATTATAATAGAATCAGGGGCATAGAAAGGGAGTGGACTGACTATTCTTGGAGGGGAAAGGGGTGTGGGAGATGCGAGAAGAGACTGGACAATAATCGTGCACCTATGGATGAGGACAGTGGGTGGGGAGTGAGGGAGGAGGGTGGGGTGGGAACTGGGTGGAGGGGAGTTATGGGGGGAAAAAGAGTAACAAATGTAATAATCTGAACAATAAAGATTTAACTAATAAAAAAAAGAATCTGGGTTTTAAAATTTCATTAATTAAATTTTGGGCAGTGGGAGTGGCTGGGGAGAGGTCAATAGGGGAAAAAGGAGACTTATGTAATATTTTAAACAATAAAGAATTTAAATTTAAAAAAATAAATTAAATAAAATAAATTTGATGTTTAGGATATAAGTCCCCTCAAAAAAAAAAAAAGCATTTGGGCATTTTTCTCTTTACAACTACAGCTTGCCTTTGCAGTTTTTTTCTTTATAGAGGTTTCTGAGGTCTGGTTGTAGACCACAAACCTTGGTATTTCCTCTGACGGGGTCCACAACAGTCCCATCCAGGGAGCAATCTTCAACTTCTTTTCCAAAACTTACAATTTCACACATTACATCATTTTATTTATCCATGGAGAACACTGACCTGTCAGCAAACCTTGACCTGCCCAGGTGTGACCAGCAAACTCCATCAGAGTCAATGAACCTTTTCGAGGGGTGTCTGACTGTTAGAAGAAAAATAAAGGATGAGTTTTAGGATGAGTTAGAAGGATGAGTTAGAAGGATGAGTTTTACTGTTTCAGATGTTTTTTTCCTTGTTTGACATTTAGTCAAAAAGGATATATTTTTTTACATTCAATATTATTTTGTATAGATTTCAGGTGTACAGCAGAGTGGTTGGATAATCATATACTCTACAAAGTGTTTCCCTGATATTCCCCGTCCCCACCTGGCACCATCAACAGATGGTACAATATTATTGACTAGATTCCCTCTGCAGTACTTACAACCCCATGACTATTCTGTAACTACCAATCTGTACTTCTCAATCCCCCCTCCACTCTAGCAACCATCAATCTGTTCTCTGTACCTATGGGCCTGTTTCTATTTTGCTTATTTATTTTGTTCTTTAGATTCCACATGTAAGTGAAATTATATGGTATTTGTCCATCTCTGACTGACTCATTTCCACGCTGTGACAAATGGTAAAATTTCATTCTTTTTTATGACGAATATTCCCTTGTATGTATGTATGGGTACGTGGCACAAATTCTTTATCCACTTGTCTATTGATGGGCACTTGGGTTGGATATTTTTTAAATATGTTTTTATTGTTTTTAGAGAGACAGGAAGGGAGAGGGAGAGAAGCATTGATCAGCTGCCTCCTGCACATCCCTTACTGGGGATTGAGCCCAGGCATGTGTCCTGACCTGGAATTGAACTAGTGACCTTTTGGTACATGGGACAAGACTCAATCAACTGAGCCACTCCGGCCAGGGCATGGGGTGGATATTTTTAAAAACCAAAGTATAGTTAACACAATGCGGTATACAGATCATGCATATGGAAATGTACACTCGAAACCTGTATGATCCTATTACCCAATGTCACCCAAACATTTTAATTAAAACAAAAATAAAAGCAAAGTATAGTTAACAGAGAACCTACCCAGAACGTATGGGTTGTGCTGGGCCTTGAAAACTGTTCCACAGTCAGAGATCTTTCTCGAAGAGGTGATCGTTCTACACTATCGGGTATTGCACTTAAAACATGGTTTTGTGCATGCCTTCCTCTGTACTAAATGAGAGATAATATGTTATTGTTTAAATAAAATTCAAACCTTAAAAAAATAATCTATATGCTTCACTCCTTTAGTCATTCATTTATTCACTTACTTGAAAACTTATTTATATGTTGGTAAACATAAGATCTAGTAAGCATAATAATGAAAATTTTTTAATTATGGAATTGTGTTATTTAACCTAATAAAATAGTAACGTCCTAATTGGTAAATATGGGGTAAAAACCTTTACTACATGCAATTCTTAGTATTAAACTATAATACAAATGTAGTTCTGCAGTTGTGAAGCATCTGACATTTTTTAAGGTGATATTTGCCTTCTTTTGTGATTTCACACTCAGCCTCAATATTCTAAGATTAAATATTAAAGCTTTGCCGCTCTGACCTCCTGGGAATGGGTCCATGGCTATGCCCAGGGAGGCACAGGGAATGCAAGAGAAAACATTGCCTCAGCGTTTGTTCTCTCCCTAAGCTTTATGTTGCCACAACCTGGTGCTTCTGTGTTCTATAAAATAGACACAAGCTACTTGTGTCATAGCAGAGCGTGTGGTCATTATGAAATATGTTTGTGTCTATTACCAGCAGCATAGCTTCCCCAGGCCTTTTCCATCTGCAGGACTGAGTTGAGCTTGGCTGAAGAAGGGATTGCTTCTACACTGCAGTAAACATAGTAAAGTTAGCGGGGGAAATGAGAGCTGATAAAAATGGCAGGGGTATGTGACTGAGCTCCTCATCTATGCCAGTCGTTATTTAACATCTTTACATTCATTGAATCTGTATACAAGTAACAATTTTTTGAGGTAGCAATTATTATTGCCCTTTGATAGATGACAAAATTGAGGCTCAGAGAGATTCATTTATACCAAATCACACAGAGACTGGGTGGCAGGACTTCAACACAGTCTGCCTGTCTCCTGACCTCACCTTCATGCTATTTTCTGCACATCATCCTGACCATCAGGTATGTCCCGGACACCTAATCTCCCTCATTTAGCTTAAGCCATGTTTTTATTTCACAAAATAGTGAACAAACCCTGCCAGCCCCTGTAAATTCTCACAAGCCACTTATTTTCAGGAAGCAGATTATGGAGACATTTTATGTTAATGATTTCACTGCAAAGTACCAGGATTCTATGTTGTTTGTTTGTTTGAACGTGCACTTTAATATAATGGAATGTGTCTTACAGAGACAGGCCGAGATCCAGGAACTGCCACCTTCTGCTCAGCAGGCTCGGGGCCTATGGGGGGTAACCTGCTCCGTGCGGTGTGGACTGGTGGGGAGGACATGTGGTCCATGCCAGTTTGCCTGTGAACACAACAACACGTAACTGAGCATCTGGGAGTCAAGACAGAGGACAGACCTTACACAGCTCCTGATGTGAGCTCTTCATCACAGTCTGCCTTCCAAGGGAAATGAGCTGAGTTCAGAAAGACAAATGTGGGGAGGGGCCTGGCACCAACTAGCTCTGTCACCTTCTCCTGAGCAATCGCCATCAGCCTGTATTCACTGAGTGACCAGCTATTCTGCCACAGGGCAGAACAGAGAGGTAATGGAACATCTAGTTCTGACCCTTATGGAATTTACAAGTTATTGAAAACACATAAATAATTAGAGTACAATGCAATGCAATTTATATAACAACATGTTATGGCACATGGTTCTGAATAGAAGCACTGTAGAAATTTAGGGAATAGAGTGATCAGTAAAAGAACAAAATTAAGCCCATCTGGCAGGGCTCGGTGGTTGAGCGTCCACCTATGAACCAGGAGGTCACTGTTCGATTCCCAGTCAGAGCATATGCCCAGGTTGCGGGCTGGATCCCCAGTTGGGGGTGTGCAGGAGGCAGCCTATCAATGATTATCTCTCATCATTGATGTTTCTATCTCTCTCTCCCTTTCCCTTCCTCTCTGAAATCAATAAAAATATATTTTTTAAAAGAAGAACAAAGTTAATTATAAATGTGCAGGGGCTAGATTTAGAAAACCACAAAACTTTATGAATCATCATAAGAATGGGGAGGCAAATATGTTTTCTAATGGGCAAACTAAATATCATAACAATGTCAGTTATTCCTACATTTTCAACAAATTTAATACTATGAAGTCCAATGTGAAGCTTTTTAAAAAATTTGACAATATTGTATAGTTATTTGTCAGTATAGGAGAGTAAATATTCATAAAAAACAAAAGAGTAATGATGATAGGAGGCTTTCCATATCAGATATTAAAATGAAAAATAAAATTGCCTGGCTCATGCACAAGACTACAGATGGCTATTCTAGAAACAGATTACAATTCATTTATTCATGAATAATAAAGTTGTGAAAATTAAAATAGGACCATTTTTGACCTATCAAGTTTTAAAATACACATACTACCCAAAGTTTTGCAGCTGAATGAAAAAGTTAGTCTCCTGTATTATCAGTGAGCCTATCAATTGGTAGAACCATTCTGGGACAAACTTTGAAAAAATGTTCAAGGGCCTTAAAAATATCCACAACTTTTGACCTGGTGTCTTTAGCTCTAGGACTACATCACCAGGAAGAAATTTGAAGACATCCTTATTTAGATTTACATAAAATGACACTTACTGCACATTACAATAATGAACATATAGACAAAAAAACCCTCAATAATAAAGAAATCATAAATTACAAATACCCACATAATTATATTCTAGTCATTAAAATTATGATTTTGAAAATATCTAATAATATGGAAAATATAAATAATGTTAAGTAAGAAAATTATGTAAAAAGTACTACATTCTACCATAGTAAGATAATGTTAGTATTAGATAAAAAGACAAACATTTGTTTTTGACAGGACAAAAATAATCTTACTCTTTTAATGTGTAAATCACAGATATAGAAAAGGTACATAAGTTGCACAGTATATTTTTGGAATATTAAGATTCCATAGGTTTGGAATAGTTGGAAATAGAGTATAAAAGGGCCTTGAGCATGGCAATATGGAAAACACATGTCTACAGAAAGGGAGGGCCCTGAAGTAAAAGGGAATGTACAGTTGGAAGTGTCCAAACTCACTTTAATAGGAAATAGGAAAGGTTTTGATGGTGGAGCCCAGGCAGGCTGGGAGGAAGAGGAGTGAACCAGTCACGTGCTCTTGGCCCAGGTGTGGGTGAGGAATGGGTCCCAGGCAGCCACAGTGAGAATGCAGGAGGGAGAAGGGTCCTGAAAGAATTAACAGGACAGACCCACCTAGAACTGGGAATTTCAGCTCCAAACTGCGCAACACATACTGACCTGTGAAAAAGCTGGAAGTGGTGCTATGAACCCATCTTGAAAGAGTCCAATTACTGGCTAAGCACTGGCCAGTGCTTCCACCATCCACCTCCCGCAGGGGGACCTTTATTTTTTATTTTTTTAAATATGTTTTTATTGATTTGTAGAGATAGAGGAAGGGAGGGAGAGAGCAAAACATCGATGCATCAACAACGATCTGCTGCCTCCTGCAGGCCTCCCCGCTGGGGATCAGCCTGAAATAAGAGCATGTGCCCTGACTGGGAATCAAACCTGCGACCTCTTGGTATATGGGTCGATGCGCAACCACTGAGTCACACTGGCCAGGTGCAGGGGGACCTTTAATAACTCCCTCCCTTGCTGCAGAAAGCCTGTGGCATGACGGTCCAGGTAGTGTCCCCAAAGCGAGACAACACAATGGGGGTGCCAATAAGTTATAAATGCAGCTAAGAACTGCTTTAAATACTGCTGAAACAAAATTCATGCCAAATGTTAAATATTCAATTCATGTCAATATTCAAATGCATAAACAACTTAGAAAAGTCTCCACATAAGTTTAACAGAGAATGCTTTGTCTAGAATAATCCATGAGCCCTAAGTGACAAGAGCCTCTGTCCTCTGTGACTTTTGTTTACCATGAGAGAAGCAGGACGTACAGTCTTGTTCCCCTAAGCACCTCCTCACTGTCCACATTGGGGGTTTTCATTCTCTGTGAGTCCAAAGTGAGAGAAGGCAGCCTCCTGTGTACCGGTGTCTTCTTTGCAGGAGTCTGTAGTCAGCAGGAGTCTGAGATTCGTCCCAGACGGTGGCGGGCCGCAGAAAGGCTACTAGCCCCCACACTCAGTGATTTGTCCTCTTGTTCATTCCTGGGGAAGGGAAATCAAGTTAATTACTGGGATGCAAGCTCTGTGAGAATAGGGAACATTTGCCCATGACCAGACACCGTCAAGAACAGTGCCTGGCTCCTAGGCGATACTCCTATTTGTTGAAAGGATAAACAGATTATTATTTCCAAATCCGTTTCAATTTCAATGAAGAATCATCAATAGAGAGAAAAGATCGAAGTTTCTTATTGCTTATGATCAAACATTATAGCCCATAAGATTAAGAATTTACTGCTGCATTCCCTTTTTCTTTTTTTAAATATATTTTTATTGATTCCAGAGAGGAAAAGAGATGGAGAGAGAGAGAGAGAAACATCAATGATGAGAGAGAATCATTGATCAACTGCCTCCTGCACGTTCCCTACTGGGAATCGAGCCCACAACCCGGGCAATGTGCCTTGACCGGGAATCGAACCGTCACCTCTTGGTTCATAGGTCAACGCTCAATCACTGAACCATGCTGTCTGGGCCCTTTTTTCTTATCTGCCCCAATCTAACAGTAATCCTTCTGTGGTCGATATTTAATAGCGTGTTTTTATCCTCACACACTGGCCGTGACCTGCCCTGAGTGTGATTCTCATTCTCTCACGCCCTCCACAGTCCGGATGTTCACATGTGCGAAGCACAGGGAGGAGGCTGGGTGGTTATTTCTCATACGTACTGCGTCATATCTGCAAAATAGGTCGGTCTCTGCTGAAGTGGTTTTGCTTGAATTGTCATCACACCATTCAAATCACTATAAAAATTGTTGGAGAAGCGACGAATCTGAGGAAAGTAAAAGCAATAAAAATTAAAAAGCATCCATAGCCACTGCCACCATGACTGCCTGCTGGAATCCATAGGAAGCAACTGCACATTCAGACTGGCTAATGGGAGGAACATTCAATAAAGGAGCTAGAGTTTATAAAGAGGTGGAGAAGGAAATTAACAAGGAACAGCTTAATTCCCCAAGGCTTATCACTGCGTCGACACATGCCCACACTTGGGCCTGGAGCAACCAGGGTTGCTGCCTGGAGAAATGCCACCAACACACTGTGACCTGGCAGCCAGGAGAAAAGCAACACCACACCTCATGTTCTCTAATCTCTGAGCGCCCACAGGGGACAGCTGCTGGGCAAGACAGCCAGGGAACACAGCCTCCAGGGCACCCCAGGGGGTGGCAGGTGCAGAGAGCACCAGGAGAAGCAGAGGAAAGGTGTCCCAGCTCCTGACCGGTCAGCTTGCTCTGGACCTCTCCTCCCTTGTCCTTCACAGCTTCCCCCTCTGCTTCCTGGGAGCAGCATGGTACCTGGAAAACTCCAACCACCAGATCCAAAGGCTTAAATTTAAATCCCAGTTCTAACTGCTTTCTGGTTGGTGATCATGGGAAGATTACTGTGGAATTTTAATTTCCTGATCTGTAAATTGGGAATAATGACACCTACTTCATAGAATTATTATGGGAATGAAATTAGACAACATTGGTGAAAGCATGAATTAAGGGTTCAATCATCAATTCTTTATTCCAATTCCTTAATATGTCCAACTAGGATTCAAAATATTATTTAGACCTAGAGGAACCAGGTATCTGAGACTAGAATTCTATTCTGGGTCAAGAATAGAACTAGCAACTACAATCACATTTTCCTCATGTTGGATAAATGTTCAAAGAAATGTTAGAGGAATAAATGAAGACCTATTGCAATTACCACTAGAATACTTGGACTATTTCAAAATAAGTTCTATTAGTATTTATTGGCACTTTGGCCTGTGTTGTCCATGTATTTTCTTTCAGCATTTATCCAAAAAGAACATCAAAATAGATGTAGAAAACATTTCTTAATACTATTAAAAACCACCAAATATCTGTAAATAATTGCTTAGATATCGTCAGGCAAAATAAATAAACTTGAGAAATGGGAACATTTGCGCAATGTTCCTATTTCTCAAGTTTATTTCTTCTGCCTAATGTTTAACGGTTCCATGTTGTTATCAACTGTTCATTACTATGTAATCCTCACTGCATATTTTACTATGCAAAGTGGGAGATGATGTTGAACCTGTCAGAGCAGTTTCAAGAGACCAAAACTTACAACAAACTCAGAGCAACTCCAACAACAAAAGCAAATAAGACCTATTGTAAAGCCTGCACACTGGAGAATAAAGCAATCCTGTTAGGTATTCCTGTTTTAAACCACTACTCACCGAACTGCCTGCCCTGTTCAGGCCTGTGTCCTTTCAATCTCACAAAGGCATTCTGTAGACTTGCTCCTGTGCTAGGGCATATTTTTGCCTCTGCCTTGAGTACCCTCCCCTTTCTTTTCAGCTTACCAAATCTTGCCTATTGTTTAAGATTCAGTTAAGGTCTTACTCTACTTCAAGCATGTCGAACTCAAAGGCTAACATGGGCCAAATAAACAAGGTTTAAGTTTATGTGGGCTGCAAAAAAAAAAAAAGCTTCCATTTTCATGGAAACATAGGCTTATGTTGATAAAGACATGCTGAATACAAAGGGCTGAAATAAATGAGTAATCATTAACATAAAATAATAGAACATTTATTAAAATTTAATATTTTTTCTTGAACATTAACTTACCAGACACTGAATAACTGCACAAATTAATAAGTGTAACGCAAATAAACCTATTTTTCTTGTTCTCCGAAAGCAAAATATTTCCTGTTGCACACACCAAACAAGTCAGTACAAGACTAAAGACGTGGCAATTGGCTGCTATAATATTCGCTGCTAGTATTAGTGGAGAGAAATGGTGTGCCTGCGCATAAGGAGAGTAAGGGAAATGAATGCAACAAAATTATAGTAATGAGTCGTTGGCGAACGCTGTAGTTCATTGTTAATAATTATGTATAACAGAATATTATAAAACTTAAGTTATGAAATTTTTATTAAAATGTTTCTTTGATGCTGTTATATTGGCTGGGCTGCAAAAATATTCGTTGCAGGCAGCATGCGGCCCATGGGCCATGAGTTTGACATGCTTGCTCTACTTTGTGAAGGGTATGCTGTTTTTCCTTTGAACCCTACATCATTTATGAGCTAAAGGACATGTAATTATTATGATATAATGCAATGTAATATAACATAATATGATATGATATAATACATATAATTAGCATCGGATTACAATAATAAAACTAACACTTATTGAGTGCCTACTCTATGCCACACAATGTCTTGTCTCCTTTAATTCTCATAGATAACAAAACCCGTTTTGAAAGAAAGGGGCTGATTCAAGATCACAAAGCTAATAAATCATGATGTCAGGCTCCAAACTTGTAGTCTATACCCAAAGCTCAACCTCTCATTCACTCTACTACCTACTAGATTGCCTCATCTTGTGTGTGTGCATGTGTGTGTGGCATGGCTGCACTCCCACCAACTAAATTACATGTAGCTTGAGACCAGGAACCCTCTCAAACCCCTTTTCTCTGCTACCCTCTACACAAGATGGGCTGTGCGACACATAAAATCCCAACTCCTTAGTACTACCGAAGGTCTCCCATGAATAAGCTTCGCTTTCCACTAGGTCTTTGAGCAAGAATGCAATTCAACAAAAATTTACTAAGACAGTTGCTAGGTTCTGTGTTAGTGACTGTCATATTGACATGATATTGCCCTCACCACAATCCCTTGGACAACATATTACTATCCTCATTCTACAGATTAGGAACCTAAAGTTTAGAAAAGTTCAATCAAAACGTCAAATATAATTCCCCCTATAGGTCTCTTGATTCCAAATGCTCTGGTCTTGCCACAATGCCTCTGTGGGTCCCAGTATCCCATCCTCTAACCCGAAGTCCAATCACTGTTCCCTAAACATGCCCCATCTTACATTCCTCCGTGCCTTTGTTTGCACCTTTTCAGGTTGGGTCGAGGCATATCCCACTCGCACTGAAAAGGTGAGAAAAGTCACTAAGGCATTGCTGAAGGATGTAATTCCACGGTATGGAATGCCTCTGACCATAGTGTCTGATAATGGCCCAACCTTTGTAGCAGAAATAGTACAACAGGTAGCCAAGGCTTTAGGAATTAAATGGAATCTACATATAGTTTACAGGCCTCAGAGTTTAGGGAAAGTGGAGTGCATGAACTGTACTCTAAAGCAAGCTATGGCTAAGCTATGCCAAGAGACAACCTTACTCTGGACAGATATCTTGCCTCTTATACTCCTGCAGGTATGCTGTGCCCCAAGGGCCAGGGTAGGTTTCTCTCCCTTTGAAATTCTATATGGTAGACCCCCTCCCTTAATTCGGCCAAAGGGAGATTTGGGGGAAATAGAAAACTTAGAAATCCAGAAACAACTACAAGGACTTGGAAAAACTTGTCTTTGAGGTCCACAGGTGAAGACCACCCATCTCTCTAGGAACAGCTGTACATCCTTATAAACCTGGAGACCAGGTTTGGGTAAAGGAATTGAAAAAGGAGCCCCTCAAGCCTACCTGGAAGGGACCCTATCCAGTCATATTAACCACCCCCACAGCTCTTAAGGTTGCAGGACTAAACACCTGGATCCACCACTCCCGGGTGAAGGCAGCCCACAAGCCGAGTGACATCCAGTCTGAGTGGAAGGTGACCTCTGACCAGAAACACCCCTGCGGATCACCCTCAAGAAGACAGCAGACCTGGCCGAGCAACCTGCTCCAGCGAATTCAGATAACACCCTGCTGAATTCTCCCTAACACTAATCTTTCTTTCTTATCTCCTCCTAACGTAACATGCTCTAGTATTTCTGGATAAACACTGATTTTATCTAAATAATTCTTATTTTTTCTTTTTATAAGTGCCAGCGGAATCCGAGACTAGTACCAGGAGGAGAACTCATCTGCTCTTGCTGGGACACAGAAGCACCATAAAATTACTGCTCCCCACACAACAAGGAAACAAAGGCCTTATCATAAATTGTTGGATTACACCTTGTCATGCAATCCTTTGCTCCTTGCTTAGAAAATCACTACCCAAATATGCTAGACCAGGTAGTCCACGAGAAAACCCAATCAAGCCAGATTTTTGTTAGCTATACTTATCAGCCTGCGGCATGTTGATAGTCTACTACCAAATGCAAGGGGGGGGGGGCGGGGATTGTATTGGATAGTACCTGTCACAGCCAATGTGCAACTAACTAATGTTGCTCCTATTTGTTTCAGCAGTACGCAGGGCCAACATCCAACAAGTCACCTCCCAGATGAACTATGCAACTCTACCACCAAGGCTGAAAACACCACCTACCCCTGGTGTTCCCTGCAGGAACATTCTACGTGTGAGGGACCACTGCTTACCTCTGCCTGCCTGAAACCAGAAGAACTCCCTACAAACCCCTCTGAGAGGAAGAAGCGGGATGCTAACCCCTTGGTCATTGTCCCTTTCCAGCAGGAAGTAGCTAAGAGCGGTCGTTACCCTTGTTCACCATAATATCCCATAGTCTTGCTCCACAAGGCTAAAAGAAGCTTGCGGGACAAGTGGGGAAATGAGGAGGAAACTGGTCTTGCAAGTTGTGTCAGGCCATAAAAACTGTGAGTAATGCACTGCCCTGGGTGGGGGGGGAGGATGGTCATTATCGCTGGTGCCAGGACAGATCATTGGATATGGCCTGGGGACCCCTAACACCTGGGGGCCTTCCTGTAAGCCCACAAAAGGGGGCAGAGCCATATCTGCAAGCAAAGACCCCAGAAGGTTATAAAAAGTGAAGCCCTCTGCATGTTTCCTCACTATGGTTTGGAAATTATTCCCGAAGTTCACTAGTGTTAATAAATGGGGTCCCTCCCTTTCTCTAGGAAGCGTGCTTGGTATTTCTTTGGTCTGCTGCAACACAAGGGCTGAGCAGGGCAGTTGAGAACATGATATTGTGAACATCATTCATTCATTGGCTTGTAACACACACGTGCGCGCACACACACACACACACACACACACAAGCATATCATGAGGTGCTAGAAATACATTTTGATCTTCTAGATATAGTCCAAGAATCTCTTTATTTGTGTGACAGGTCAGTAGTTTGTCCAGAAACATGTTCCACAGTTGTCTGTGACAATGAACAGACCATCAATTCAGTAGTCCATCACCTGCAGAGATTTCTAGGTGATAAATCCCTGGGTACCCAGTGGATGCTTGGGGCTTTAGCTGCTTCCCAGGTAGTCCTAAGGGATTTCACTTTCTCCTTTCTATTAAGCAAAATATGTTGGTCTTTCCATTTATTTTTCAGAGTCAGGGAAACTCAAGATCAGTCTATAATAACTGCATAGGGATCATTTTGTTAGGGAGTTGGAGTGACACTGAGGACATTAACTCAAACGTGCTATTTCTTTTATTATTATAAAGCAGTCACTCACTAATTTATCTATTAAAGTAATATATATTTCAAACTGACATCAATTCTTAGAAAAAAATGTAGCACCCATCTCTAAAATGTAGTTTATTATCAGTATCTACCTCATTCAAGCAGGAGCATGATAGGTAATAGGGACACAGCAGCTATTTGATCATCTTATTTTAAAAAAATAAAGTCAGCATCTTCATGTTGCTACTGCAGACCATGACATACTTTCTCCATTCCAACTCAGTCTGACAGTTTAAGTGAGTTTCCAATTAAAATATGAAAAAGAAATTATTCTGGGGACAAATGAAGATTTTTAGCCAAAAGGTAACACAAAGCAATGCTTTGCTTTAAATTTAATTTCATGTCTAGTATAGGGTCACTACATTTTTTTAAAGGCAAGTTTTAAATGTAAGTGCATGAAATTGAGAAATATTACCAATTTCCAAGAATAAAACTTCAATTATCCAAAATCATCTGGGGACGAATTTTCTACTTATATCTACTTTCTAGATAACAAAGTTTACCATATCTTGGGAATCATTTTCAACTGCATCATATACGTTCTTGACTTTTTCTCTGCAACATACAGACTGACTTGTCTGCACTGAGGGTCTTTGGAATGGTAAAGTGCGTAGAGCTGTTGAGCCTGCCCTGAATGCCCTAGCCCAGTGGTTGGCAAACTGCGGCTCGTGAGCCACATGTGGCTCTTTGGCCCCTTGAGTGTGGCTCTTCCACAAAATACCACGTGCGGGTGTGCACATACAGTGCGATTGAAACTTCGTGGCCCAAGCGCAGAAGTCGGTATTTTGTGGAAGAGCCACACTCAAGGGACCAAAGAGCTGCATGTGGCTTGAGAGCCACAGTTTGCCGACCACTGCCCTAGCCCATAATACTTGCCCAATGACTTTGTTGGGTCACCTCTTCCTTTGATATCCATTAAAGAATACATATTCCATTTTCATAGTTTGTTGCTTCCACCTGCGATTGCCTTGAGAAAAGTAAAGAAACAATCTCTGTCCATGCACCAGAAGGTCACAAGTTCAATTCCCAGCCAGGGCACATATCTAAGTGTGAGTTTAATCTCCAGTCGGGAGGTGAATGGGAAAAAATGGATCAAGGTACCTGTCTCACATCACATCGATATTTCTCTCTGTCACCATTCTTCCCACTCTAAAATCAATTTAGAAACAGAAACAATCTCATTAAAATTATTTATTAAAAGAAGTTTTATAAAGTCATTGAGTGAAGGAGTATATTGTCGATGGAATTGAAATTCAGGGAATTTGTGTCAGTTATCAGCTTGATACGTCCAGGTATGTTCTGGAGGATTGAATTTCCCAGTAGGTTAACCCTAAACTAAGTGCTGGATTACTATACATGTGCAGCTTCTCTTCTCATTAATGATGGGAGAATTCTAGAAGATCCGTGTTCTAATGATACACCCAGTTATAGACCCGAGTTTCATAAAGCAATAGCATATTGTTGTAGAGATTTAGAGTTTAGCCTCTATCTATTTCCAGCTCTGTCACTCCGTAGTGGTATGACTTTGGATAGAAACTTACCTCTGATAGATCTTATCCCCTTGGAATGAAAAGGAGTATAACCTGATAAGGTCTAAGGTGCTTCCAGCTCCAAAAGCCATTACGAGGGACTGGAGATCACCAAGAGGAATCTCTCCCGGTAATATAGGGTGTCCCAAAATTCATGCAAGATTTGAATTTTGTGTGAGAATTAACAACAACAACAACAAAAAATAAAAGCCTTATTTTACTTGGTTTATTGAATCAGATTCTAATATCTGTCGCCCTTTGATTTCAATCCCTTCAATTTGATAACCATTACCAAGTACCAATTATGGCCCAGGAGCAGGGACAATGAAGACCAATGAAGACCACAGCTTTGCATATGCGTCAGCAAAGCCATGGAGGCCATTTACCCGATGTGCTATTCCATACATAACCCTATACTATATACTTTAAGAATCAATACAAAATTTACAATTTTTAATTAGAAACCTGTGTTTTCTATCAAAATTACTTCTTGCGTAAATTTTGGGACACCCTATATATGATGTGTAAAGGTAATTGTGATGTTATGTAGAATGAAGTGAAATTAAGGCCATAAATACACGATTAAAGGGAAATAGGAACAGAACTTATGAGTCAACTTATAAATGATCTGCTCTCCTTGATAAAATCTGAAAAATATCATCATCATAATTATTCTCATAACTGATGCCACTGATATAATTTTTAAAACCTAAGCTCCAGCCTAAGTATTTAATTACCCTTTTCAACTTAAATGTATATGTATATTTGTGTTGAACAAGAATACCTTAAAAAATTCTGGAACTTCAATAAACTTATATCCTTTGGGTCTGTCAATTGAAAATGAATTGGGCTATGGATCCCTCTGTTGAGAAATGTATATGTTTATTTGGGTACGGACATCAGTTAACTCACCGTTTGGGATCATGACCAAGGGTAAGATAATGGTGGTGATGAAAATATAAAAACTCTTCCTTTGATAGACTTGACCCCATTGTAAGTGGGGTAAAAAAAAATAGGTGTAGGGATTCAGAGTATTAAACTCATGATCTACACATTGTAAATGCAAAGTTTTTCTTAAACAAAGACCTTATTCCTACTATGGCACAGCCCAATAATGGAGTTAGGATGCATCTATGTTTCTCCTCTTCAACTTGATCCAGATGCCATTAAGAGGACGAAGAACCAGGTCTCCTGCCAGAACAAGTTCTTCTCTTTTCTGGTTGGATTCTACCCAAAAATGCCTCAGGATCCATGAAAGAACGACCTTTTCTTCCATCATGGCAAACCTTTGACCTTCAAATTAATATAAATAACATGACTTTAATTACAGATATATCTCAAATGGGAGAAAGAACAGGTACTATTAGAGGGAGCAAGTGATGTTAGATTTTCACAGCAGGCCCTGGGAGAACCAGTATCACTCAGGATCTCAGGATGCTTCCTAATAATAAAGATCATTGAGTGCCCTTCCGGCTCCCACCCAGTGCATCTGAATAGCTCTGAGGACAAGGAATCTAGCCCACGCAGAACCCAGGTGAATCCTGGGCTCACTGAAGCATGAGAACCACTACTCTAGAACGCTTTCCTACTGGGCCTTTCATGTAGTTTACTATAGAGTTACCAGGCCTCATTGTACCAATGCCTGCATTTACATAAACACTAAAACCCCAGGTATACTAAAGCCAAAAGTGTTTATAATGCATGGCGATGTGCATTTATTTTGTTGATGTATTTCTGCTCGTCCCATGGTGAGCATTCTTTGTTTTGGTTTTGAAAAAAGCAATTCTTAAAAGCAATAAAAACAGGTTAAATAAACTAATTGTTATAAGTAACATATCTACCATATAAAGTATATTCTACTTCAATCCAGAGATCTACATTTAAAAACTCTACCATGAAACTGGTTATGCTTTATGTTATGGGCTTAATGGTATTTCCCCCAAATTCATCTGCTGAATTCTTAACCCTCAGCACCTCAGAATGTGACTGCATTAGTGGATAGGGCCCTTAAAGAGGTGATTAAAATAAAATGAGGTCCTATGGATGGGCCCCAATCTAATCTTATTGAAATCTTTATGAAAAGAAGAGATAAAGCCATGGCTGGGTGGCTCAGTTGGATGGTATGTCATCCCATTCACCATAAGGTTGTGAGTTCAATTCCATCAGGACAGATACCTAGGTTGTGGGTTAGATTCCTGGTTAGGGCATGTATAGGAGGCAACCAATCAATGTTTCTCTCACATCAATGTTTTCCTCTCTCTCAAAATCAATAAAAACATATCATTGATTGGGGATTAATTAAAAACACCCACAAGCAGAGAGAGGAATAAACTATGTGAAGACACAGGGAGAAGACGTCTATAAGCCAAGGAGAGAGGCCTCAGAAGAAACCAGCCCTGCAGACACCTTGATCTTGGAGTTCTGGCCTCCAGAATTGTGAGAAAATAAAATTCTGTCATTTAAGCCACCCAGTCTGTGGTGCTTTGTTACAGCAGCCCTAGAAAACTGATATACTTTACGACAGTCATAGTAAAGTGGGAGAAAAAAAAATAAAACAAGTTTTTTTACAGACTTGTATCTGACACACTACATCTCAAAGACATTATTGTGAGAAACCCCTGCCATGTGCGCCTGAAAGGTCAAACCCATTCTGATAGATACAAACCTATACAGTTTCTGGGTCCAGCAGAGAAGGGCACATATGCATATGGATGGCGTCCCACCGAATTCTCAGGAAAGAACCGCTCTGGCTTGAACTCCTCAGGGTCTGGGAAGTACTTCGGGTCTCTATGCAGTGCGTAGGGAATGATGAGTATTTGAGAGCCTTTCACGACGTTGTACCCCCCTGTCATGAGGCAGTCGATATGTCATGAGAATAGAGCAAGACAAACACAGAAAGTCCACTCTCCCCACTACTCTCATGAAAGAATTCTCACCAACATCACAATCTTCATTAAGACCACGGGCAATTACAGGCACAGAAGGAAAAATACGAAGGGTCTCCTTAATAACACACTCGAGATATTTAAGTTTCTTCAGGTCTTCTAAGGTAACAGGGCGATCAGAATTCCCTGATCAAAGTAAATACATGAAATAAAATAAATGAAAGAACTATTTGGGCTTGGTGGATAAGACATCAAAAAAGAATCTATACTAAAAAACGACAAAGATGCTAATTAACCGTACTTTTGCTACGCCCCCAAACCACGCCCACCAGCCAATCAGAGTGACTATATGCAAATTAACCCAACCAAGATGGCAGCCCGCAGCCATGGAGCTGGAGCAAGCAGGAGGCTTGGTTGCCCGGGCGATGGAGGAAGCAAAGCAGCAAGCAACTGAACATATTGAGAAAGCAAAAAATGAGACAGACCAACTCAATGAACAAGCCAGTGAGAAGATTCTGAAGGCGGACATAGAACAAATTCTGCCAACCATTGTTTTTCAGAAGAGGTAGGAATTGATGGCACAAATCCCAACTTTTCGAGCAACAACATTTGCAACCATCTCTATGCCTGCAATGCTTGGGGAGACACATGGAAAGGCACTGTGTTATTTAACCAGAGTTGAAGTACAGAATTGAAAAGTAATAAATCAGATCACAGAACAGATTTTCATTTCGATGAAAACCCTTCCTTGGAAAATAGTTGTACCCAAAGAATTTCATCTGAGTGCAAGCCGTGATGCATTTTCAAAGTCCAGAAAATATCTGGAAAGGATTTGATGAAATGTTCAAATCCAATGCATGATAAAGCCAGCAGAAAGAGGCCGAGAAACAAAAATCTGGTTTATGGCCATTCTGATGCAGGTGCAGATAAGGTGGGAGAGATCATTGAAGGTGGTATTTGCCAAAATCCAATTCATTACTACTTGTTTCCTGATATGGAAGATGAAGAAAGGGAAGGAGAAGAGAAGAAGATGATGATGGAGGGGAAGAGGGAGAGGATTGAAAGCTACCAAGGAAGAAGCTGATGAGGATGAAGGAGACGGTGACTAAGGAACACGGATGGATTCCAACCTGCTTTTTAAAAGTTTCCTCCAGTCACTGGGAGCAAGTTACAGTCTGGGTTTTGTTTTGTTTTGTTTTGTTTTACTTTTAGGCTCATTCATTCTTCTTTTGAATTATTTTCTCTCCCTTACATCTGGTTCTCAACTTACTTGGAGGGAAAAACCTTGTGCAGAATACAGTGAGAAAAGAATCTCTAACGCTTTGTCTTCCAAATTCACTTTTTTTTATGTTTAAAAGTATTTTTATTTTTAATTTTTTCCATTGATTTTTATTTATTTAATTATTTTTCTTTATTGATTAAGGTATTATATATGTGTCCTTATCTCCCCATTGCCCCCATACGTCCCCGCCCTCTCCCCCTCCCCCACGTATGCCCTCAGCCCCTGGTGTCTGTGTGCATTGGTTAGGCTAACATGCATGCACACAAGTCCAAATTCACTTTTATCCCTTCCTGCCTCAACAAACACTATGTGTAGTCAATGCCCCTGTGCTCCGTGGGAAAGAAAAACCTGCTTACGTTGCTCCACTGGAGGCTGGAGGCTCAGCCCGCACAGTAGTGCACAGAATTCCAGCTTTCTTCCTCCTTTCTCTGTACACTGAGCACACAGATTACACTGTGTCTCTGTGAATGTGGACAGTTAGCATTTACCAACATATACCTGTCTACTTTCTCTTATATGGAACATTTTTTAAACTAAAAAAAAAAAAAAAAGACAAAGGAATATAAGATGTTTGGGTTAGTTAAGTGGGCATTTTGACAAGTCTTCCCCTTTGGTATGTTTAATTGTGATGTTTAATGGACTTCCTTGCAGTTTAAGATGATACTTTTAAAATAAAATTCTCTCCTAATAATGGCCTGGGCCCTGCCACTCAATGGGAGAGTAGCGGTCCTGCAGAACTTAATTGGAACCATCATTCTCTATTGTAATTTTGTTCCTGTTTATTTAATTTTTTTTGTTTGTTTCACTGGAAAGAAAAGATAATGCTCAATTTTAAACATTAAAAGTGTACCAGTTGCATGTTATAATGAAACTAATTTTACCTCAGTTAAAAAAAAAAAGGAATGAATACTTACATCTCAATATCCAAAGATCAATTGCTCAAAAACGTTTTAGAACTAATACTGGGGATAGAAGAGAAGTGAGGCACAATTAGCAAAAAGCATGAGAAGCAGCAGAATAAAAATTCTAGTAAAAATGGTGTCACTGATTATGTGAGATCCAAAAGCATTTGTACACCTGCATTGGGCTACAAATTGTAAAAACACAAATGTGGGAACACATTCCAAAAGACCCTGGGTTTCTAGAACACCCAATTTGCCCACCAGAGGCAATCTGAGAGAAATTCAACTTGATACAGGAAAAATGAAATGACGAGAGAAACAGAGCCCAGAAGTTTAGATCATCTCCATTCTACAAAATAAAGTCTTCCCTCTTGATATGAAAATCCAGTCCTCACACCATCTGGACATGAAATTACTTTTACAACTTCACCCCTCAATGGGTTTTAACAAACGTTCTGAATTCCACCTGTCCTTTAATGCTTACTATTATCTTCCAACTTCTCCACTCTGCCATTGTTCAACTGGAGCCTCTCTTTCCAGAATGTCTTCCACCTCCTCCTCTTTTCCTTTATTATTCCTTTCCCACTTTGCACTAGGAAAATCCATCAGATACCACTTTGTTGGTTGGCCAACCAACCTTTACCTTTCTTTTCCCAGCCATGGGAAGCCATATGACATCTGAATAAACAACAAATTAAGTTGATGGCACAATACACAGTTCCTTTGTGATAGGCTGATTATGACACACAAATATATCAGGCCCCAATCCCTAGAACCTTTAAATATTACTTTTTGGGGGGAAAGTTGTTTTTGAAGATTTTATTAGGGATCTTAAAAAGGAGAGATGATTGTGGATTATCCAGGTGGGCCATGAATGCCATGACGAATGTCATGATAAGAGAGAGCAGAGGAGGATTTGACACACCCCCACAGAAGAGAAGGTCATGTGAAGATGGAGACAGAGATGTGAATGATGTGGCCATAAGCCAAGGTATGTTGGCAGTCACCAGAAGGAATGGATTCTCCCCTTAGGCTTCCAAAAAGTGTAGCCCTGCCAACACATTGATTTAACTCAGAGATACTGATCTGGGCCTTCTGGTGTCCAGAACTGTAAGAGAATTAATTTCTATTGTGCTAAGCCACCCAGTTTGCAGAATCTGTGACCGCAGTCAAAGGAGACTAATATTATCCTTCATCCCCTCTTCTCATTTCTTCTTGCCTTAAAGATAAACATGAGACCCAGAACAACAATCAAGAAAACAAAATCCACGATGATGAAAATGACAGAAAGAAAAAAGAACAAGTCCAGGATTCTCCCAACATCCCACAGGCATCAGCCTAGGACTCCTTACCTACAGGTTACTGGTTGTACAAAAGAAATGTATGTCCCATCAGCTTAACCCACAGCAATCCTATATGAAACAGCTCTCCTTGACCCCGCTAACCAGCTTCACCTCTCCTCTCTGCCCTCCGCTAGCCCCTTCTTCCTCATATCGCCCAAGCACACAGCCATGACTTGATACTTTATACACAGTGTCTGCTTCACCTATGAAGCACGAGGTCCTTGAGGACAGTGACATTTATCTGTGTAGCCCCCGCATCTAGGCCGGTGCAGTCACATGCCAAGCAATCAGCAAACGCCCGTAAACAAATGGATGAGGTCTTGCAAAGGACATTAGCCCTGGAAGGGGTCCCATATGGCAGCATTCCTGCTTATTACAGTGTCTTTAGAACAGGCCCGACTGCTCATTCTTAATGAGGAAGAATGCCATTTGCTTCAGTGACTTTGGACCTTTCGTGTAAGTAGTGAAGAGGTCATACATACCAAACACTTCGTCCAGTTCATTGTCCAATGTTTTCTGGACTTCTGGATAGCAACCCAGTAGGTACAAGGCCCAGTTTATTCCAGCTGCAGTTGTGTCATGGCCCTACAAATGTAAGAAAAAAACAACAGCTTAGAAAGCAGAGTTCTATTGAGAAGGTTAGGGATGCTAACTCTATTTTGAATTGGCTCTGGATTTGACAGCAGTGACGTGACCCCAGACAGAACAGGTTAATTTTATACAGTATTTTACCTCTGTGGGGAACAAACCAATGGAACAATCCCTTCAAAGGGGATGCCTCTGGGTACAGGGACATTCAATACGACAGAGTCATATACTTGGTGAGAGTGGCTGGGCTGGGCTAACAGGAGGCATTCCAAGGGATCTCCATGTGCTGGACTGTTTTTGAGGGAATAAAAGTGTGACTTTCCTGAGCCATGTGGCCAGATCTGCACTTGTCCACTTTCTCCCATTTGTATGGTCGACTTTACCTGGACACCAGGCAACACCAGGCAGCACATGGGTGGTTCTGAGCAACAGTCTCCACATCAAGAAGTTGATAAATACCCCATTTAAACCTTTCTAGTTTGAGGGAAAATACCAAACATTTTGCAGAAACGAACTCAATTATTCTTCACAAAAAATCAATGGGAGCCCGGCCAGAGTGGCTTAGTGCTTGAGCATCAACCTATGAACCAGGAGGTCATGGTTTGATTCCTGGTCATGACACATGCTGGGGTTCTGGGCTCAATCCCCAGTAGGGGGCATTCAGGAGGCAGCCAATCAATGATTCTCTCTCATCATTGATGTTTCTGTCTCTCCCTCTCCCTTCAATGAAAATATATTTCTCTGAAATCAATAAAAATACATGTTTTTAAAAAATCTCCATGGGATACTTGATACTGCTATTCACGTTTTAGAGATGAGAAACTGAGCCCCAAATGATGCTTTCCCAGGGCCCGACAGCTTCATAGGAGGTGGAGACAAGAGTAGGACCCTCGGAGTTTCTGATGACAAAGCAGAGTCCACACTCTTCACCTCGGGGAGCGTGGAGGATCCAGGGTGAGGAGATTCCAGCTCCAATACTGATGATGACACCCTGGGCAACCTATTCTCGGTCCAGTCAGTGTCTTTAGGCATCAGCCCCTTATTTCCTGTCCTCATCTCACCAGGACACTCCACGTGCAAAATGGTAAGTTCTTCAGAAAAAAAATGTATTTGAAAAATAATAAATGCCACAGTCTTTGGAGCAAGGGTTCAGGAATCTGGAGAAGGGTTATGGTAACATAAATGGATACACCAGAAAAGAAAGATAAATTTGGAAGGCATGAAGAACCAGGTGGAAACCCTTTTCTCGTGGAATGTGCTCACGGAATCTCCGGACCCAAGGCTTTTTATTCACACATTTTGCCCTTTAGCAAAGCAAACACACATATCAAAGGTAAGGTTTGGTAAACAATAAAGGATTATCAGCTTAGGCCTTCTGTGGGTCTCGACCCCTTTGGCGGTCGAAAGACCCTTTCACAGGGGTCGCTAAGACCATCCTGCATATCAGATATTTACCTTACAATTCATAACAGTAGCAACATTACAGTTATGAAGTAGCAACCATAATTTTATGGTTGGGTCCCTCCCTTTCTCTAGGAAGCATGCTTGGTATTTCTTTGGTCTGCTGCAACACAAGGGCTGAGCAGGGCAGTTGAGAACATGATATTGTGAACATCATTCATTCATAGGGTTGCTAATGGCTTGTAACACACACACACACACACACACACACACACACACGCAAGCATATCATGAGGTGCTAGAAATACATTTTGATCTTCTAGATATAGTCCAAGAATCTCTTTATTTGTGAGCCAGGTCAGTATTTTGTCCAGAAACATGTTCCACAGTTGTCTGTGACAATGAACAGACCATCAATTCAGTAGTCCACCACCTGCAGAGATTTCTAGATGATAAATCCCTGGGTACCCAGTGGATGCTTGGGGCTTTTGCTGATTCCCAGGTAGTCTTGAGAGATTTCACTTTCTCCGTTCTATTAAGCAAAATATGTTGGTCTTTCCAATTATTTTTCAGAGTCAGGGAAACTCAAGATCAGTCTATGATAACTGGACAGGGACATTTTGTTAGGGAGTCTGAGTGACACTGAGGACATTAACTCAAAGGTGCCATTTCTTTTATTACTTATTATAAAGCAGTCACCCACTAATTTATCTTTTAAAGTAATATATATTTCAAACTGACATTTTGCCTTTTAGTTATATTTTTGAAATGGTTGTGTGAGGCAGCAATTTCAGGTGTTTACCTATGCTGCCATCTTGGTTTCTCAATTCCCCACAGCCCACTTTTTAGTGAATTAGATGTCTAATTAGATGCATAATTTCTTTTCTATGAAGTGATCTGCTTAAAATAGAAGTTTCAAACCACTGATATAGTCCATATTTCCACTTTCCACACAGTGTGACTGTGGCAGAGATCTGCAAAGACTGGGCCTTTCTCGTATGGTCAGTCAGCACAGTCCTGGGAGAAGTCAGGTTTGTGGACTCTTCACACAGCTTGTTTCCTGCTACAGGGCAGAGCTTCCTCCCTGGGGAGGCACTGCCCCCAGGCGGCTGCAGGCAGAGAAAACACAGTGCATGCAGTCTGCCATTGAACACTGATGGCTTTCCCTTTCTTAAATTTCCAAGATATTCCACTTGCTGCCTTTTAAAACCATTTCTTAATCTTTATTTGGTAAGCCACGTGTTAAGAGGTTTTCTCTTTATAATATTTAATGTAATTAAAATTATCTTTTAAAAAATTCGTCTTTTTGCTCAGCTGGTGTGGCTCAGTGTTTGAGTGTTGACCTAAGAACCAGGAGGTCACGGTTCAATTCCTGGTCAGGGCACATGCAGGAGGCAGCCAATCAATGATTCTCTCTCATCATTGATATTTCTATCTTGTTCTTCTTTAAAAAATCAATAAAATTATATATTTTTAAAAATTTATCCCTTTTTTTTGATTTGAAGACAAGAAATCCCTTTAGAATCACAAACTGGTTAAATGCCCTACTAGAAGGAGCTGGGCAGATGGTGACTGGCAAGCCGGAGGTGAGGGAGAGAGTGTGATTTAGTGATGAAGTGACAGGGGAGTGTGTGGATGTGTGTAGTGTGTGTGAATGAGTGAGGGACAGTTAAATCCAGCAGGAGTACCAGAGGCTGGCAGACCAGGCTCTCCTGGACAGGGAGCCCCTATCACCACTGCGGGCACTCCCCGGGCTGTGGGGCTCCAGAAGGTAGCCCATGCCATATTGAAGGGGAGAGGGGCCTCCTCTAGGAACTCATCAGCACCACCACCCAGACTGGCCATGGACACTGTTCGCGACCCTGCAGCCACACCAGCCAAAGTTCTACTGCCTCACCGCAGACCTGCAGACCCTAGGACATCTACCTCCAAGGGCGGATGGCTCCCGCAGCAGTAAGTGGGACTTCGCCCTCCCTCACTGCAGACCTCTGGACACAGTGGTCACGCTGAACCAGTGCCCGGGCACCCTGAGTCAGCCGCCCAGGCAGAGGCTTCTCCGGTGCCTCTGTGAGCCACTGCTGGGTACGCATGTATCCAAACAAGGATGCACGGCCCCGGCAGTAGAAACTCGGACTTCCCCATTCCTGGCTGACTGCCCACAGACACAGTGGTCATGTGGTTTCAGCACACAGGTCTCCTGAGTCCGCCACCCCAGCAGACAGCTCCCTGGTGCCTCTGTGAGCAGCTGCTTGGCGCACTCCTATCCAATCAAGGGCTGAAGACCCTGGCTGCAGTACCTCAGACTTCGCCCTCCTCGATTGCTCACTTCCCGTCACCTCAGTCACACGGATCAGGCGCACAGGCTCCCTGAGTCCACTGTCCCGCAGGCGGCTCCCAGGTAACTCTCTGAGCCACCGTAAGGCATGACCCTGGCTGCCAGAATCCAGTCCCTACGATAGCGCTGCTCCAGGATGCGGGCCCCAGAGCCCACCGCCCCAGCAGGTAACTCCTAGGTTGCTCTGCAAGCCAATGCCGGGGCTCGTATCCAACCAAGGGTGCACAGCTCCTGAAGCAGAAACTGGGACTTCTCCCTCCCCGGGTCAGCAGCACACCACGATCGTGCAGCTCCAACGTGTGGGCCCCATGAGCACACAGCTCCACCATATGGCTCCTGGGCCCCTCTGTGAACTGCCATTGGGTGTGTGCCTCTCCAACCAAGGTCACATGGCTCCCTGAACAGGATCCATGGCTGCCTACCTCTGGACACCTTGGTGAGTTACTGAGGACCCGCCTTGCCATACAAGGTCACATTGATTGGCCACAGACTCTGAGATTCCCACAACCACAGCTGCTGGCTCCAGAACACCCTTGTGATTCAGAGAGGGAAATCACTTTGGCCAGAGTCCCACTGCCTCAACTGCAGACTACAGGACAGCTGCCCCCCCACTGTCCCGGACTCTGGGAGCCTTGTAGTGAGTTACAGAGAGACGCTACCCCAGCAAGAGTCAGACAACACCAGCCAAAGTCATCATAGCTGAGCCTCAGGCCCCAAGACCCCTTCCTCCCAAGCCCATGCACTCTGGGAACTAACAGTGAGCACATAACAGTGAGACCTCAGGTAACCCTTTCCACAAGAGCTAGAACCGCGATCACATCTACAACAGCTGGCACAATGAAACTGGGGTGAGTCACATTGCCCATCTGTGATGAGACTACATCCATGAAAAATAAGCTAACATTCAAGACCCAACTACATCAAGAGAACCCAAATAACACAAATGGGGGCTCCGCTAGATCACCAAGCCCAGGAGATCTGAGAGACTGCACCACTGGGTTCCAAAAATCACCAACCACCCCCAAAACAACCTGGGTAGCAAAGCAGCTGGATCTAAGACATAGAAATAAAACATTTCAGCAAAAAGTGGGAAGACATAAAAACAATCCCCAAAGGAAAGAAAAAAAGAAATCACCACAAAAATAATTAAATGAGATGGAGGCAAGTAACTTGTCAGAGAAAGAGTTCAGAGTAATGGTTATAAGGATGGTCAAATGTCTGGATGACAAATACACACAACTGAATGAGAATTATAAGAAGCTGAATAAGAATGCCACCAACATGAAAAGGAATCAAGAGGAAATGAGGAATGGCTTAGCTGCAATAAAGAACATAAAGGAAGGCTTGACTAGCAGACTAGAAGAGGCTGAGGACCACATCAACAAATTAGAAGACAAGGTAGGAAAAAAAAACACAAACATAGCAGCAACTGGAAAGAAAACTTAAAAAGGAGGAGGAGAGCCTAAGGGAGCTTTGGGACAACATGAAAGGAAACAACACCTACATAATAGGGTGCAGGAAGGAGAGGAAGCAGAGCAAGTAATAGAGAACCTGTTTGAAGAAATAATGACAGAAAACTTCCCTGATGTTGAGAATAAAAAAGACCACACAAGCCTACAGCTTTTTCTGAAGAAGAAAGTTGATCTGGTATTTAATTAGGGTCTTGAACTTTGTAATTTTTAACTACAATATAATGACTCTTCATCAGTTATAAAGCTACTTCAAAATGTGATCAGACTTTTAAAAAATGCTAAAAACTTTTTTAAAGAATTCCTATATATTATTTTTTAAGTTAAAAATAAATTGAGAACAGATCATCCCTTATACCAAGGATCCCAACATATTTTAAAAGGTGAGTACAAATAATTCTTGCTATTTCATGTTATTTCTAATTTTACTATTAAATGCTTAAACATGTCTAAGTATTAGTGCTGGCTAGTTCTTCATTCTTAGCATTTTCAACTCCCAAGATTAAAAAAGAACAAAAACATTTTTTTGTTATGTAACAGGAACTGTAATTTGTTTAATGATGATACCTGAGACTAACATGACAACGCAAAATACCTCAAACATGAAAGTGTCCACTTCTTCTCGAATTGCCTCAAGGCTTAGCTTATTCCCTTCATCATCCATCACATTTAAAAGCAGGTCGAGAAAAGCCTTGCGTTTTCTCTTGGAGAGGGTCGTGCCTTTGCCATCACTTTTACCTTCTTCATCTCTCTTTATTTCATTGGCCCGTTCCTTGATGACCTGTATGATTTAAATGATCACATGCTTTTGTGTGGAATTTGATATGGCCTAATAATCCATTTTCCTGTGAAAATATACTAGCTTCTTTAACTGATTTTTTCTAAGCCTTTCCTGTTCTGTCTCATTCAACAGGAACTTAGGTTGTTTGAAAATATAGTAAAGCTTTCTGTGAACATGTTTAGGGCATTATTTAATAAGACTTTTAAAAACAAATTTAATGTCAGACAAATACATCATTTCCAAGGACTATTTTTGCAGCCTTTCCAACATGGGAATAGAGTAGTAGTCTCCTGAATAGGGCCGGAGCGAGTTGAAAGAGCTCATGAGAAAATTTGGTAGTGGAGAGAACACAATCTATACTAATAAAAGGGTAATATGCTAATTAGACTGGGGCAACTGGCCATCTTCCGGATGTCCAACTTCCTTCCAAACAAAGCCATGGTGGTGAGGGCCGAGGTAGAGGCAGTTGGGGGCGATCAGGTAGGCAGGAGACAGCATTTAGGAATGAGATCAGGTCGGCAGGGGAGGGGACTTGGGTGCGACCAGGCCTGCAGGGGAGGGCAGTAGGGAGCAACTAGGCCAGCAGGGAAGGGCAGTTGTGGATGACCAGGCGCTGCAGGGGAGGGCAGTTGCAGGTGATTGGGCCTAGAGGGAAGGGCCATTCAGGGCTTCCATGCCAGAAGGGGATAGTCAATGGGGTGACCTGGACAGCAGGGCAGGGCAGTTGGGATGACCAAGTAGGCAGGGGAGGGCAGTTAGGGCAACCAGGCTGGAAAGGGAGGGCAGTTGGGGGTGACCAGGCCAGCATGGGAGGGCAGTTGGAAGCATTAGGCAGGCAGGCAGATGAGTGGTTTGGAGCCAGTGGTCCTGGATTGCAAAAGGGATGGCTGACTGCGGAATTAGACTTAAACTGACAGTCGGACATCCCCCGATGGGTCCTGGATACGAAAGGGTGTAGGCCAGGCTGAGGGTCACCCCCTTGTGCATGAATTTCGTGCACTGAGCCTCTAGTCATTATATAATAGATTAATTATAGATCACTCTAATTACATGTTGTATTAGAGAAAAGAATCACCCTGTACGCTTGCCGCTCCTTCTGCCTAGAATGCTCTTGCCTCAGAAGCCAGCATGACTAGCTTCCGCTCTAGTTTTAGATCTCTACTGCCCAATGTCACACTGTCAGGGTCACTGCTACCCTAGTCCCTAGCACTCACTCTCTTCCTAAGCCTACTTTACATTATTTTCCATTTCACTTACTACTTGTCATTGTATTTGTTATTTAGTGACTTTCTCCTCCAACTTCAATGTAGCAGCAAATTTGACTTTATTCATTGATATACTTCCAATCTTTAGAACACTGCTTGGCATTTTAAAAATGTTCATCAGGTATGTGTTGAATGAATAAAAGAATGAAAGCCCAGGAGCTTAATTTGGTTACACATTTCAACTTTCTCCTCCTTTTGGGCAATTGTCCAAACCTGCTTCTGCGGAATGAACAGATGCCAAGTTCCATAATGGCAAGCACCATCTCTACTCTTTGATTCTTGGTGGAACCCCTAGTGTCTGGCACTCAGTAGGGAATGTAGGGAATGTACACTAATAAAAAATATGTAAATTGGTTGTCACTCCGCTGCACCCACCAGCCAATCAGGATGAGTATGCAAAGATGGTGGGTTCATTTGCATACACAGGTGTGAAGTGAAGACTGAAGGCTCCGAGCGAAGACTGAAGACGACTGAAGACTGAAGAGACTTAGCTTCTCCGCTGGGGCTGGAGTGGAGAAGCCAAGCCTCACTGCAGCCGGAGCGTAGAAGTCTAGCCCCGAGGCTTGGCTGCTCCGCTGTCAACAGGCCAAAGGCCTGGGTCATGGGTGCCTGAAGAAAACTGGTGTGGGCAGCCAGGGGAAGGAAGGCGTATTGCACAAATCTTCTAGCAACAGGCCTCTAGTTTTTTTATATTAGCCATCCAATTTGAAATTCATCCATTATTGATATTGATATTAATGAATGAAATTGGAAGTGTAATTATACCCATAAAATAAAATCTGTTCACCATTCACTTATTGACAGGCAATTATGCTATACTTCACTGACGGCAGCTCATTCCAACATCTCATTCATCTAACATCTAGGGACTCTAACCACTTGATATTTTGGTGGAGGCAGTACCTCATTGTCAGGAAGCAATGCCATCATATTTTAAACTAAAATTACAGCAAAGGATAAATATATTTACTTCGGCACTTTTATCAGTACACTTGAATTACAATGCATGCTTTTAATTAAAGTTTGCCTTTTCATAAACATACTTTTAACACAAACCCAGACTATATTCCAGAACATTATTATTTCCTTGTCATTAACAATTACATAGTAATATCTAGTTAATTTTTATCATTTCCAGTTTAAGATACTGCTATAAATGCCCTTTGTCTTAGAAAACTATTGCCTAATCCAAACATTTTTCAGAAGATTCTTAAAACACAGTTCCCAGTGTCTTTATTTTCTTAGCATAGCACCCAGTTTGTTAATAAATTATCATAGCACATATCACATTTTGTAATTATTTATTTATAGACAACCCCCCCAGTAGACTAACCTCCCCCAGTAGAGAACATTAACTAGTGGGTATGTTAACAAACATAGGAGTCATGCACTTATAAAAGTTGTAGAAAGTGATAGTGGTAGGGGTTGCACAACATTGTTAATGCCCCTAATGCCACTGAATGGCACACTTAAAATGGCTATTATGATGAATTTTATGTTATTTATATTTGATCACAATAAAAAAAATGAGGACTTACATTGGTGGTAAAATTATGTAAGATCTTTAGGTTCCTTCTGTGGTCCCATCCTTCTTTAAACAAAAGGTACAAAACGTCATGCCAGAACCAAATCGTCTTCATTCTTCGATGTATCAAATCACTCATCCTATAAACAGGATGCAAATGCATCAGCTGATATATCAAAAATGTGCATTGCTTGAGTACCTATTTGGTGCCTGGTCTCAATGAGGGTAATATGTGGCAACGATAATAATTCATCTTAGCGGCTACTAAGAGCTCTATGCTTTATGCTCAACAATGAAGGCACGGGTTATTACACATCCAAAGAAGCTTAAAAATTAAATGGGTCCTATAGAGGAATGAAGAATCCAGTACAAAACACCTTACTAGATGGCCATCTGATCTCTTCTTCTATTTCTCCAGGAAGAGTTCCAGACCTCCCTGAGCTGCCTGTAGCTCTTATACCACAGGGTGGGATGAAATCTGCCTGTTTAATGTCCACGCATTTTCTTGATCACTCCTCTGGCTGTCCTCTTCTCCAGTAAAGTGTCCCTCTGTCACATCCCTGTCCCTAGTCCCTCCCTCAACATTTCCAGTGATGGAGCAGAAAGACCTAGATATGATCTCCTCCTTTGAGAGCAACTTACAGGTCAATTCTGCAGAGTGGCCTTTCCTGGTCACTCAATCTGTGGGCCCTATTGCTGTTTTCTTCTCGAATATCAATCAACTTTATTTTTTCTCAGAAGCAATTATTACAGTTTATAAGTTTATACGTATTTGTTTTGATGCTTGTCTCCCTGTTATTCTGTTCTGTGGACCACTATAAAACTAGTCAGTATCTTGTGTAATGAATGGAAGATTATATATGCTAATATGTGTTAAAATGAAATGGGCAGTGGACTCAAAGACAGAATTCCTGAAATCAAACCCTGGTTCTGCTTTTTCATAGTTGAATAATATCAAGCAATTTTTCAAAGTAAATACGACTATTTCAATTAAAAAATAACACACACTAAGTGCAGAAAATATGGGAAGAGAGAATTAATAATACAAAGAACAAGAAAGAGGAGCATATAACACAAAATAATAATCACAGCCAACATTATGGAATAATATCTACAAGTTTTTTTAAAGAATAATTTTTTATACCTAGTGGTTATCATGCTAAAATATTGTTTTTATCTTTATTTTATCAATAAGCATCATAATGTAATTTTTCAATATATCATAAAATAATCATTTAAAATTATACCATAGCCTGGGTGTGCCATAATTTATAAAATAAACCCTCTACTGTTAAAATACATGCTTAAATGATTAGGTTAATTTTTAATGCAATATTTCATTGTGAAACAATGAAAAAGATACAACACAGACAAAAAATTATTAGCGATATTTTTAAAGCTTGAATCAATAACAATTTAAAACATAATTAGAAGGGCTCCGTTTACCTATAAACTGCACGAACATACTCAGAATCATCATTAGTCTGAGCATCAATATTCTTGCCCATAGCTGTCTCTGCAAAATATGGGTGAGAAGCAACCATTCAATTCATGCACATGCCTTGTGTTTATTTTCCAGTGGCAAACACTTCAAAAAAGACATAAATGCTTATATATTTTAGAATTGTTCCTTTCCCCTTTCACTCTTGCACCTTTTGTTTCTCCTACTCCCTGTTCATGCTCCTTCTTCCCTCTGACCTTCCTGGCAGGTTGGCTCTGCTCGAAGCCCTAGCAGTGGGTACTGCTTCTCAGGAGCCTAATTTAGCAGAAGGACCAGCCCAAAGAAGCCAATATCCTTTCTAACCCTTTCCTTTGCCTTCCCAGTGAAATGTTATTTCCTATTTGGGCCATTGTATGTTTACACCATAGCTCTAGAAACAAATCCATGAGACTTACCACAGATTATATCTAAGGCACAGAGAGTGATGTAAGAAAAGCAGTTAAATTTTTCTCCGTCAACATGTTTTTCAAGCTTATTAACTAATATGTTGGCTTGTTCATTCATGACATCTAAGAAATCTTCCAGAATGGTAAAATGGAAAGTGGGTGTTAACATTTTTCTCCTGGAGCGCCATTTGTTTCCAGTACTAGAAATACATGACATGGTTACAAAGAAGAGAAAAGCAACATTCAAAGCAAGTAAAGCATAGTCAAGACAACAAATTCTTCTTAATCTACAGATTTCCAAATGGTTTGGTAAGAAAGTCAAGGGGAGATTCATATACAGTTACAGAATGGGCATATTTTAGATATCCTTCTATATTACTAACTAGCTGTACCTGGCCACGCATTGCTGTGGCTCAGTCTGGTTAAATGGAAAAGAAAGAAAAGAGAAAGCGCACGTTTCTAATATGTTTAATTTCACAATGCTTGTGGGTATACAATATTTTTTGTTGTTCCATTGTCTGTGCAGATATAGAGATTGTCTGGTTTGCTGACTCTAGGACATGCAACATATAATTGTCCATGTGAGAAGCAATCCATGTCTAGATCTAAACCGCATGATTCTAAAGATTGGCCCTGAGCTTTGTTGATGGTGATTGCAAATGCCAATCGAATTGGGAATTGCAATCTCTTAAATTGAAATGGCATATCCATTGGAATCATAGGAATGTGAGGAATGAGGACATCTTCACCTTTGAAAGGTCCTGTCAAGACTGTTGCTTCTATGATGTTGCTCATTAATTTTTTTACTGCAAGCCGTGTGCCGTTGCAAAGCTTTGGCTGGCTGATATTTCACAACATGATAATTGGCACGCCGATTTTCAATTGCAGTACGTGCGGTGGCATCCCTGGCGGATCGAGTGAATTCAAAAATTCTATTGGATAATTAACCGCTTCATCTGCTGCCACAACAGTGTCGACGGACTGGTATGTGACTGCCTCGCTTTGAATGTTAGAACAAATAATATTGTTAAGTTTGTAGACGTCTTTGTTCTTGGCCGCAAGAATAGCTCGTTCACTCAGCCAATCGTGATTCTTATAATTGGTTTGAATATTGGGAAATACTTTTTCAACCAATTCTTCTTTTGACGCCACTAAATTGCAGAAGTTATGAGGCAATGAAATTCGTCCTGAGGTCAGATCAACTGGCACCTTTCCATTCCCAATTTCCAGCAATTGATGTGAGAATATCTCAGCTGATCGATCGTTTTGCAGCTGAGCACGCATATTTGTAGTTAATTCTATCTACAATTTATAATTGTAAACAGAAACATTGAAATGGAATCGTAAAATATTTAGTGTAGCGTGTGTTGCTTTTACGTCCAACAGATGGCGCTGTTTTTTTAAAAAAAACACATGTTTTTACCTGTCACAGGTGTGACGTCTATATAATAGTAGGTATAGATGTATATAAAAACACACGCGCATTCGAATGCAACGTTGTGTCAAAATTTCAAAGCAATCGGTGAAGAACTTTCGGAGATTTAAGATTTTGAACAAACAAACATTTACATTTTTATTTATATAGATATGTAAAAGAGCAGTGATCAAAATTGAAAATTTTAAGAATTTCACTAAATTTCTAAGTTCTGAGTTTCCAAAAATGAGAAATTTCCCCCCTTTACCCAACCTTAACCCTCTGAAAATCTAGGAGCTCCATGAGTCTACTTTGATCTCTAACATCTTCAAAGTCTCCAAAGTCCCCACTGAAGTCCTGCTTTCTCTTTCTCAGTTGATGGGGTCCTGTTGCTGGATGGCAGCTCAAGGACTGAGGTTACTGTCTCAACTTACTTCTCTGAGGATCACTTCCTTTTTCATTGAATTTTCAAGATTTCCCTGCTAAAAACTCCCCTGTTCCATACTCCATTTCTACATTGGGACTTTCTAACTCTCCATGGAACACTGGTGATCATCATTATTGAATACCATGGCTGAAGATTACTCTACACCTTGGGTTCCTGTCTCTCAGAGGCCCATTATCACCCAACTTTTTCAGTTTCTCCCTACTACTCAATGGCACATTCTTGCTATAGGAAAACTACCCCATGTCGATGCCTGACATAAGTTACGTACAAGACAGCTTTACCAATTTACACTGATTTACCTGGTAAGAAGTCCTAGGCCAAGCCATGGTTGTAGGAATGTGTACAGATAAGACTTGTCAATTTGCTTTGAGCTAGTTAAAATTGCCTTAGAAAGAGAGAAAAGGAAAATGAGAGATAGAGATATGAACGCAACCATAATTATAAGAATACTGGGATAGAACACAACTACTTTCCAAAGTAACATTTCATAACAATTACTTCTTTGTGGTTCATTTTCATTACTATGACTCAATGAAATGCAATTAGAGTTTGGAGCATACCACTGTCTCTCACTCTTGGAGACTAGCTGGAGTTGACTGAAAGGAAAATGTCCAAGATAATTCCCTGAGTCCTGCCATGAATTAGGAGTCAAGTGGAGTTGTTTATTGAGGGTAGGAGTGAGGGGAGAGAAGGTGGGTGAAGCATGGGATGACCACATTAAGGGAGATGGAAATCACAAGTTCATTATCAGGTATGTTGATTTGGAGGCATTCATGTTGACATAGTCTGAAAGCAGTTATGAAGCTCAGGATTAAGGCTTATACTAGGTACACATTTGAATGTCTCCAGGATATAAGTAGCATTGGGAACCATGGGTATAATTAGGTTGCCTGGAGCCAAAGTAAAGCAGAAGGGATGAGCTTATGCACAAAATGCTTCTCAGGCATCTTGCTGCAGTTCCCTACTTTGGACAGATCTCTATCCACATGTACTAAGCCCACTTACACTAGGCCAGCAATGGCTGACATCCCATGTGTGGCCCTCTCCCTATCTCCTCTGGACCAGTACATTGGGCAGTGTGGTACCGGAGACACTCCAACAGTTTTACCACAATGAGTAAGAAAGATGTATCCAAGCCCAACAACCCTAGGAAATTTTGCTGTTAATTTTTCTCCATGAAGAGAAAGTCTGTTTTTCCCATTTTTACTTCCTGACACAAAGCCTTTGTCATCAAACCATAAGATAATACTCCCAATGTCATGATAATAACTAAAAGAAAGATAAATAATTTTTAGGAGTAATTTCAATAGCGTGAATTAACAACATCTTTCCCATCAATATCACATTAGTGTTCTCTTTTAAAAAATTAACTTTAAATTATAAAAGTATAATGAATACTCTGAGCCTCTTAAGGGAAACACTTAAATTTTATTAGTCTTATATTTTTGCAATCTTAAAACAGTGCGTGGGAGATGATATGAGCTCACCTTGTAGAATAATCTATTTATGGTTCTGTTCAATTGAATGCTTCACCAAAAAGGAGGACAAATATATTACTTGATACTAAATGCGTATAGACATGTAGAAGCTGCTACTCTTCCCAGAACTCAGACTATATCTGGAAAGCATTAAATGGCACCTTCAAGGCCTTAGATATTTAATGTAATCCTCATTGTATTGAATTCAATTAAATATAAGGACATATATTTGCTGTTTATTCTGATGAGATTCTTACACCATCAAATATACAGTGAAACATTGACCATAGTCACCATCAACTCACCTCTACAGTTTCGGCCTTAAACATGGCTATTACTGGTACTGTGCCAAGCCAGGCCTTTACCATTGGCACATGTCTGTTGCGTCCTGTGTAATAAATCATCTGCTGGAAAAACTCTAGAAAATAATTAATTTAAATAAGTTCCTTACTGTGTCTTTTTGGGTTTTTACTGTTTTTACTTTGGGCAACTCATTCAATTTCTCCCAGATCTTTCACACCTTGAAGCTAAACCACACAGTTGTCCTTACAAAATTATTGATTAATGAATTATGAGGCTAATTTAATTATGAATGATATATATGCAACAACCTGGTTAACTGAGAAATGCCAAGCACTTGGATGTTTGTGGTGACCTTATGACATGCCTTCCCCAAGGACACTGAGGTTGTTCAGTTTCTCCTGACCTGCTTCAGGCTACTCTTCTGTAGAAAGGGAAACCTGTCCCAACTCTCCAGCCCTGGTAGATAGATGCTTCCCTTTCACCCTCTCTAAAACAATATTGAAGTTCCTCAGCAAATTGAGATTAGAGCTGCTACATGATCCAGCATTTCCTCTTCTGGGTATTTATCTGAAGAACATGAAAACGCTAATTCAAAAAGATATATGCACCCCAATGTTAACTGCAGCATTACTTACAATAGCCAGGATATTGAAGCAACCTTAGGTGTCCATCAGTGGATGAATGGATAAAGAAGATGTGATAATATTGGTCCAGCTGGCATGACTGTGTAGTTGAGCATTGACCCAGTCAGGACATATGCCCGCATTGCAGGCTCGACCCCCAGTGCGGGGCATGCAGAAGGCAGCCAATCGATGATTCTCTCTCATCACTGATGTTTCTCTCTCTCCCCTCTCCCTTCTACTCTGAAATTAATAAAAAACATATATTTTTTTAAAGATAAAATATTGTCATTTGTGATAACATGAATGAATCTTACGGGTATTATGCTAAGGGAAATAAGTCAGACAGACAAGGACAAAAACAGTTTGATTTAACTCATATGTAAAATATATTAAAAAGTAATAAATAAACAAATATAACAAAATAAAAACAAATTGAAGGATACAGACAACAGAATAGTGGTTACAGAGGAGAAAGAGAGTGGGGAGAGGGCAAAGTAGGTAAATGGGGTTAAACAAATGGTAATAGATGGAAACTTGACTTTTGGTTGTGAGCACCCAAAAGAGTATACAGACATCAAATTATACTATTGTACATCTGGTATCTAGATAATGTTAATAACGAATGTTACCTCAAGAAAAAAATAATTTTAAAAAACTCTTCTGTTTTACTAATTCTTCAAATTCTCAAATGTCTCAGGGCCCCTACAGAATCTCTTCTCTTTGTAGGAAACTCTTATTCCTACTGCTTTTTGTCTAATAACACTCACTTATTCTTCAAGTGTCATCTTAGATGTGATTTTGCTGCGCAGTCTTTTCTGATATTATAAACAAGATTTCTGGTAATATAACTTCCCAGATTGGCTCCCATTCCTAGTACGGGTACCAGATCTAAGTATTTCTAAAGACTATCCTACAATAAAATAAATAAGTGTTCTTGGAGAAGTCATTGATTTTAGGGACACGGCAGAGAAAAATATAAGAAGAGTGGAATATATCATGGTGGCAGAAAGTAAGGAAGTGCTCAAAAAATGATGGGGCCATGTTGAAACACCAAGCAGCCAACTGAAAAGCTCCTAATACTCCAAACAGGGACAATTTGTGCAACAGAATAATGATAGAATTAGTTTGTATCACTTTTCTAGTCAATATCTTCTAGTTTTCAGTGTACGGGACTTTCACCTCCTTGGTTAAATTTATCCCTAGGTGTTTTATTCCTTTAGATGCAATTGTAAATGGGACTGTTTCCTTAATTTCTCTTCCTGGTAGTCCATTGATAGCATAAAGAAATGCAAGTGATTTTTGTATATTGATTCTATATCCTGCAACTTTACTAAATTTATTTATTAATTCTAACATTGCAGGGGGGAGTATCTAGGATTTTCCATATGAACAATCATGTCGTCTGCATTCTTTTTCTTGCCTAAATGTTCTGACTGGCACCTATACTACTATGTTGAATAAAGTGGTGAGAGTGAGCATCCTTGTCTTCCTGATTTTAGAGGGAACGTTTTCAACATCACATATGGTGTTCTTGCCAAAAATGCATAACCTCAATGAAACTCTGATAAAACAACAGACAAATCCAAACTGAGAGTGATTCTACAAAATACCTGTCTCAGAAAATGTGTCAAGGTCTTGATGTATATGGAAAGACTGATAAACAATCACAGATTAGAAAAAATTAATATTGAAGAACATAACATAAGGAAATACAACTCCTATATGCCAGGTGAGATTTTGAATTGAGTCATGGAACAGAAAAAGAACACTAGGCAGTGTTGTAAAATTCAAATAAGGGTTGTAGTATTGTTAAGAACAATGGACAAATAATAATGGTCTAGTTTGATAATGACACTAATTCCATAAAATAACACCATCAGAGGAGGCTTGTTGGGTATATGGCATATGCAAACTCTATATTATTTTTACAAATTTCCGTAGTTCTAATATCATTTGAATAAATAAAAGTTTATAAAGAAGGATAGAATGCTGAAGCTGAAGAATAAAAAGTAAGCTGGAGTATGATTTTATAATATTTTGTTAGTAGAAGAGAAACACATACACACAGTATCTATATAGATAAAAGCCAAATATTCAAATTGTCCCCTGGGGAATTTGACCAACTGGGATTTCCATTGCTTGCTATGTCATGTGCTGATCACCAGGCAGCGGTGCAGAACGTAGGAAGGCCCTGGTCGGCACCCAGCAGCTGCTAGGGACCCTACCCATGCACTAATTTCATACACTGGACCTCTAGTCTATATAATAAAGAGTTAATATGCTAATTTGTCTATTAAGGTGTCCCAGTCTATGGGCAGGGCCAGAGGCGGGAATTCTGCACCCAGCGCTAACATCACGCTGCCTGCATGCATCCCCATTCAGCATGAAATGATGCTGGGGGGTGGGGGGCTGGGGTCCTGGGCTTGACAGGGGACCTAAGGCCACGGCCCCTGTCCTGCAGTGCCCCCCGCCCAGCGGGTCTTGACAGGGGAACTCAGGCTGCGCCCCTCGCCTGGTGAGGCTTGAAGGGGGACCTCAAGCCACGCCCCCGCCCCAGCTCCAGTTCGGGAGACCTCAGACCATGCCCCCCCACTGGGTGCCAGGCAGGGAGACCTCAGACTGTGGCCCCTGACCTCAGCGACAGGCCGGGGGTCCTCAGGCTGTTCCCCCTGCCCAGTGAGGCTTGAAGGGGGACGTCAGGCCACACACCCCCGCCCAGCGGGGCTAGACAGGGGACCTCAGGCCACACACCTATGCCAGCACCAGGCCAAGGGACTTGAGGCTGTGCCCCCTGCCCAGAGGACCTGAGGTTGTGTCCCCAGCCCCGAGGGGCTTGACAAGGGTGGGGCCGGCCGGGTCTAGGTCTCATCTAATGGGGGTGGGGCCGGCCGGGTCTGGGTCTCCTGCGTTTTAGAAGTGCGTGAGGGTGGTGGGCAGGAACTTGATTGTAGGTCCTGTGGCGCGCCCAAGACTCTGACAGGAGGGAGATTTTATATACATTTTATTAATTTTCTTTCATCTCTGACACCTCTATTATAGAGAAAGGGCAAATAGCAATATTAAAATATTTCTTATCATTAATTCTCTTTTAATGTGCATGAATTTTGTGCACCAGGCCACTAGTATATAAATAATAGGCTGTGTCTACATTTACTTGGATATAGGAAAAAATTTGGTTTAGGAATGTGACAAAAATGTGGAAGAAATGTCATAGTGAATATAAGAAAGAATCATTAAGATAAAAAGAATTACTGAGAAGCACTGAGGAAAATGTAGGGATTAGATAGGGAAAGTTGGTAATCAATCAAATCAGTTTCCTATGACATGTCCAGAGATAACAATGAGTATGACGGAAGTACCTTACTTATTCTTGAAAACACAACATGCTCACACATGCATTCCACAGGCAAGGAACATGTGCCACCAAAGGACCAGATACCTACTCTCAAGGAATTTATAATCAGAGGAGATGGTCACTGTGGGACTAACCATAGTATCAGATCAGATGAAATGGGTGTTAAATTTGAAGTTTAAGTCTGAGGAGTTATCGATTTTCATTGAAAGCACTGGAGAAATTCCAAGAAAGAGATGGCATTTGAGAATAAAAGAATGAGTTGGCTTTTTGTAGGAAGAAAAGGGAAGTGAGGGTAAACCCAGTATCAGAAATAGCAGAGCAGAGTCAGGGAGGTCTGAAAATTGCCTATAGGTTTAGCCAAAGCACAGGATGGGGATGAAAACATTGATAGATGAGCTTGGAGTGTTGGAAGTCTAAAGAAGTTGGATTTTCTTTTATAGTCTGTAGGCAATATCTGAAAGTTCCTGATGAGTACTAAAACCACAGAGTTATATTTTAGGACAATAACATTGAGGTGAGTGGGATCTGTGAAGAACTTGGTATTCCGAGGCCACAGGAAGCTTCTGTGGGTGGGAAAAAGACGGGGATTCGATGCAGCCAAGGTTAGGGGCCCTGGTCCTGCTTTATGGCTGGTCCTTATAGTGGGTGTGGGGAAATGGTGACCAGTAATCCCATCAACATTGAAGTAGGGAGGAAAGTTTGGGAGTTAACACTTTCTGTATTGAAATCCCTGAGGCCCCATCTGAGGAATGCAGCCCAGCATTCAGAAAGGTCAAACATGACAAAACTCTGGGTCAGGTCAGGAAACACTAACTTGGTAAGTGCAACCCAGAGGTGGGGGTTGGGTGGGGTGGGGGAACACAGTGACTAAAGGATTGGGGTACAGAGTCCAGCCCTCAGAGAAAAGACCTGGCAACGGTTAGACAGAGCACAAGTCAAACAACATGAGGTCAGGGGAGACTGGCTTTCTAATTAGGTTAGGAAATGAGGCACTCTCCTGAGATTGCTGGCAAAATCCAGGGAGGGAGGGATAAGGAGAGCAGACTAGCTGGGAGGCATGTGGTACCAGGCTTCTTCTAGGCCAGTGGTTGGCAAACTTATTAGTCAACAGAGCCAAATATCAACAGTACAACGATTGAAATTTCTTTTGAGAGCCAAATTTTTTAAACTTAAATTATATAGGTAGGTACATTGTTATTAACTTAATTAGGGTACTCCTAAGGCTTAGGAAGAGCCACACTCAAGGGGCCAAAGAGCCGCATGTGGCTCACGAGCCGCAGTTTGCGGAACATGGCTCTAGGCAAAAGGACTGCCCCCTTGAGAGCATCAGGACTAATGCCCACAGCACTGTGAGGCTACTAATATGAATGGCACCTGAGATTTTGACGGGTTGCTTTAACTTGGGAATTTGGGCCCCACGGACAGATTGACATGGCAAAAAAAAAACAACTATTAAACTTCTCAGCTCTTTTTCAGTGCCAAGAAATGTACACATACTCAACTATCCCTGCTCCTTCTCCCATCCTGCAGTTCCCCGCCCCCCCTCGGGCTTCAGGGCAAGCTGCTCTAAGTGCAGTGGGAGAGAGGCTAAAGCGCAGGGTTGTCCATTGCATGTGATACTGAATAAACAGTAATAATTGTTTAAAGCGTTTGCACATTTGGGACCCTCAAAACCTAATAATAAATCTTCTAAAATGGCTAACATTCATTCTGTCATATTTATTTGCTGTGGAGGGTAATTAAACATCAGACCAGAGCTAATGGTTATCAATGCCTTATGTCCTTTATGCCTCACCACAGTCAGATGAGAAGCACTATTACAGAAGTTAGTGAACAACTGAGGAAGTTGTGCATAGCTAAGTAGTTGCACAATATCACAGCGCTGGTAAATATAGGCCTGGCTTTGTACCCGAGGCACCCAGACACACAATGTGCCATCATCAGCATTACATCACGCCGATTCAAAATGCCTTCCAGTCAAACCATTGGCTAAATTGTTGTGAAAAGAGCTAGGTCAGATCAACAGTGTCAAAATATATGTAGCATGGCCATAATCACTGCCTTGGTCTGGTCTGACAGAGGAGACAGGGAAATCAAAATCCATGGTTTGAAGGTCTCAGGCGGGCCCAATAGCAGGGAGTAGCTGGGGAAGACAGGTGTTGACAAAAAGGACTGAAAAAGCAAAAGATAGAGTTCAACAGCCTAGTTGGAAGTCAGTTGCGATTCTCCAGGTGAGACTTCTGAGGCCAGAATGTGGATGGTGGCCACACAATGAAAGGCACTGCCTCTTGTATAAGACACAAGGGTGTTGAGGATGGGGAATATACCTTTAAATATTGTACTATGCCCAATTTTGCTGAGCTCAATGCTGGGCACAAAGGAGGGCCTCAAATAAGTGCATGATTGACAATGAAAAAAATGGACTCAAACCAAGTTCTGGACAATGGTCTAGAAAATGGAGGCATTAAATGTAATCCTCAAAGTAATGTTTACAAGTAAAGGGTAACACACTCTAACTTAAAGAGTTTTAAACAACTTGTCAAAGTCAAGCAATTTGGTTACAAACAGAAAGGGAGCAAAGGTTGGTCTCCTGCCCAGATCCAGTTGTTGTTGATGCATTAAAAAGTCCCCTTGAGAAAGATAATGTGTTACCATGCTCTCCTCTCCAGAAGTAACTATAAGGAGAATTACTTTAAATAATACAATAACTCACAGTTTGTTTTGAAATGGATCTTATTCACTAGAGATTTCAATTCTTAGAAAAATTCCCCCAAAAGACTATGATGAGATTTCTTAAGTATATGGTTTCCTGTTGAGGAGGAGGGGGTCTATATTTCTACACCATTATTTTTTAATATTATAAAGCCTTTGAGTAGAAGGGAAGATTAGCTCTGCCTTTAGTGTTCACTGTGATGATGTTTACAAATGTAGTTTTCATATATCAAAATTTGCTGCATCACTTGCAACATTAGTCGCATTGATGTCTGGTTGGTTAAAAGTTTACTGGGATTTCTTCTGCCAGAAACATTTTCTGTATTTTGGTAACACTCTCCCATGAGGCCTCATGTCTTCCTGTGAAGTTGAAATGACAGCATTATTTTTATTTGGAGAAAGGAAAGTGGAAAAGAAATAACCCTTTAAGCTTTGGAATTGATGTTCAGTCTATAAAACGTCTTCAATTAAACTGAGGGGTGATTGGATTCTAGTTCTGGGCTCATTTTAAAATATGTCATTTGGGGCAAATCTTTTCAGTTCTGGGCATCTCAACTTATCCAGGCACGAAGATGAAGTGCTAAGATCTAACTCACCCTCCCTCATGGGGGATGCAAACATCAGGGACTTTTAGGAGCTTTCTAACTTAAAGTGACCCCTCTACCCCTATCATAACAAAACATAAAGGCTATCAGCTTCAAAAGATGATTTCAATAAAAAACCAATTCACTCCTTAACAAATAAGATTTCTGAAACTTGCTGTATGACTTATGGGGCAGGCCTTGGTGAATAACATCATAATTCATGTTGGTATGTAACCTCCTTAGAAGGGCCAAGGAGGAATGAAAGTTGTGGTCAAGTCTTGTGATTTCTGCAGAAAGACGCTCTGGTCTCAAGTGCATTTCTTGTTCCTTATTTTGGAGAGAGTGCAGAGAGGAGAGAGAGAGAGAGAGAGAGAGAGAGAGAGAGAGACAGACAGACACTAAGTTATAAGTTGTATCTGCCTTTAGGACTTTAACAGTAAAGACAGAAGAAAAACAGGAGGTGTTTTTTGTTGTTGTTTTTTCTTATTAAATATATTTTTATTGATTTCAGAGAGGAAGGGAGAGGGAGAGATGGAGACATCAGTGATGAGAGAGAATCATTAATCAGCTGCCTCCTGCACGCCCCCCACTGGGATGGAGCCTGAAACCCAGGCATATGCCCTTGAAGGGAATCAAACCAGTGAGTCTTCAGTCCTCAGGCTGAAGCTCCATCCACTGAGCCAAGACGGCTAGGGCTACAGGCCGTGTTTTCAGATAGCAGCAGCCAGCAGTTGGGAAAATAAGAAGAGAAAAGGCAGAAGGACCGGAGTTTAGAAACACTGCACTTATGTGTAATGAAAACTGGAGCGAACTGGGAACCCATTATCCAGGGGGTGATAGAGTCGCCCCTCACCCAGCAGCCTGCAACTCCAGTCCTGCTGCTCCAGGCTGGGAAGCGGGCTGTTCCCTGCAAGGGGCCCAACAGCCCGTGGCGGGGAATGCAGCTGTCCCAGGCGCAAAGTCCGTTACCTTTCCCTCCTCGCTCCAGGATTAGCGCGTGTCCCAGGAAGGGGTAGGCGAAGGGAATGGTGGGCATGGGCCTCATTTGCAGCCAGTTATGCGCGTAGGTCGCCATCATCTGCAGGAAGCTCAGGATGAGGGTGGCGCCCGCCAGGGAAACGGCGCTGAGCGCGCCCCAGAGCAGCAGCTTCTGCCAGACGTGCACCAGCCAGACGGCCACCATCGCGCCAGCGGTCGGCTCCGCGGGGGACTGAGCCACAGAACCTTGGACCCAGTGCTTGGGGCCAGGGCGGGGTCCAGACCCTGCCTTTCAAGTGCGGGGGGCCTGGGAGGAGTCCTGACATTCCCGGGGGCGGTCGCAGGGGCCTGGGAGGGCGGGGGAAGAGGTGGCGCCCGGCCCAATCGCCTCTCCCTCCTCCCACAACCCATAGGCACCAGCCCAGGCGCGCAGAAGCGGGCCTTCCCGTGCAGGGACCGCCCTGCCCCCTCGGGACTGGGTTGGAGCCTCCCCGGCTCGGAGGAAAGCACCGCCGGGTTGTTGTGCAGACAAACGCCTAGTAACGCGCAAGGGCCTCTGTTTGGTTCCAGCAGAAACGAAAGCCCTTGAGCCCGAGTCTGAAGGCAGAGAGTGCTGAGAAGACACGGAGGCCCTTGAGTGGCGTGGAGAGGAGAATGGGGTGCAATTAGGGGCAACTTCAGGATGGAGAGGCGCACTGGGGCTGGGGTGCGCTGACTTCCGTTACAGGAGTGAGCGGTACGTTTTAGAATGGAAATAACGGGGCCCCGGGTTGGAAGTTCGGTTTGGGGGGTTAGTTTTTCCCTGGCTGGGCGCCTGGCCTCATGATGCTCCCTTGCGCAACCAGGAGTGTCTTCTGCTCTCCTGGGACTGGCTGCGCGCGGGAGGTGGGTTGCATCCTGGCTGCGCATCAGGGACATTCAGAGCAGCTCCCTACTCTGACCTGGGACTCCAACCTGAGGGAGCAGGTACAGTTCGTCATCAGGTCACGGGAGAGCTGAATCATGTTCTTGTGATCCCAATGGTTTCCCAATTATCCTCGGGACCAAGAGAACATCGGGCGGGTGGAGAGGATGAAGGGCAAGGTCTCTGGAAGTGGGAGAGATAAGAGATGCTGGCAGAGCGGGGGTTGGATAAAGGAACAGTAATTATGAAGTAACTCTCAAAAGACAAACCACTGAGCCTATGGAAGGAAGGAAGGGAAAGGGAATGATGGTGAGAAGGATGCCCCAATTCTGCCCATGGCTGTGTTCAGTGACTAGGAATTTTCCTTCTTCAGGTAGCGGGACCCCAATCCTGACTCTGGTTCTCTTTTCTACTGTTGATCCTTCCTACAGAGGCGCTGGGCTAGGAGTGTCCCTCTCTAGGAGCAGGTCCATAGTGATGGGGAAGGTGCCAAGGAAGATGACCTATAGTGAGAAATGCCCTGGGTCCTACTTTGCTCAATTCCCTCCGTTTTACTGGCAGCTCTGGTACAGGTGGCAGGGCCTCTTCTGGGCAGAGAGAAACATGCTTAAGGCTTTTCTCCAACTGATTTTTTTAAAGTCATCCATCTGTCCTGACATGGAAGAAGGTTCAGGAAACAGTAAGTGAAAGATAAACTTTTAAAGTTGCAGAACAGAGTACATAATGTAATGCCATCTTTGGGGAGAAAGAAAGTTTAGTTCTCTGCAGCTGGACTAATATCTGGGAGAAAAACACTGGTCAACCTTATGAGATGTCCATGGAGGAGAAGAACTTACATTCTTTATTTTATTCACTTTGATATGATTTCATCTGTTTAAGACTTAAAATACATTTTCTCTAATATCTTTAAGTCTATCTCATCTCTCTAAAAGTCTATCACAGCTATGAAACTATGGGATTTCTCTATAGCTGACTCTCTGCTCATCTCTGTGGACAAAACAAGGAATATATAGCCACTATCCTCAAGAAGTGGAGAAGGGGGAGGGCGGAGTCCTTCAGGCAGCAGCCAACATGAGCAGGATGTGCTCCAGAGCAGAGAAGGGTATGATGGGTTCAAGAAAGTGTGTAGGGGACTCCTGCTTGGAGCACAGGGTGGCTGAGTGTGACCAGGACAAGACAATATTCACAAGTAGCATGGACCAGCTTTAAAAGACCCCGACTCCCAGGCTTAGAAATTGTATCTTTATTTTGAAGGCAATTTGTGGGTGAGAAAGAGTGCACCGAATATTTTTTGAAAAGGGACAATAATATAAAAGTCTTGTCTCTTTGTTCCCTGAATCATCATTCTCATCCTATTTGTTCCCTGATAGGAGCCAATGCCCCGAAATTTCAGACTAGACTAGTCAGATGGCCAAGCATGAGAGAAACCCATGGCAACACCCTTCTCTCCTGGCAACCAAGTTCACAGTGTTGCGCCTTCGAATTTCCACCCTGAAACATAATGAATCTCTGTGTAGGGAGCATGGCATTGCCAAGGTGAAGACGATCTACCTACATTTGTCACCGCTTAGTCAGCTTCATGGCACTCATCCCGCTGAGTAGGAAGTTGTCCCCTAACTTTGTTTCTTGAAGATTCTTTCTATATTAAAGGACAAACCACTTGGAAGATTTTTGCTCCTCTCCCCTGCTTGAAATACATGCCTTTGAATGTTAGTCATGAGCCAGAATAAGTTATAAACCACAGCAAAGCTTTGTAAATGTTAACATTTTTTAAATTAAATCTTTATTTTTCAGATTATTACAGTTGTTCCTCTTTTTTTCCCCCTTAGCTCCCTTCCACCCGCTTCCCACCCCACCCTCTGCCCTTACCCGCCCCCCCCACTGTCCTCGTCCATAGGTGCACGATTTTTGCCCAGTCTCTTCCTGCACCTCCACACCCCTTCCCCCTCAAGACTTGTCAGTCCACTCTCTTTCTATGCCCCTGATTCTATTATATTCACCAGTTTATTCTGTTCATCAGATTTTTTATTCACTTGATTTTTAGATTCACTTGTTGATAGATATGTATTTGTTGTTCATAACTTGTATCTTTACCTTTTTCTTCTTCTTCCTCTTCTTAAAGAATACCTTTCAGCATTTCATGTAATGCTGGTTTGGTGGTGATGAATTCCTTTAGCTTTTTCTTATCTGTGAAGCTCTTTTTCTGACCTTCAATTCTGAATGATACCCTTGCTGGGTAAAGTAATCTAGGTTATAGGTTCTTGCTATTCATCACTTTGAATATTTCTTGCCACTCCCTTCTGGCCTGCATAGTTTCTGTTGAGAAATCAGCTGACAATCATATGGGTACTCCCTTGTAGGTAACTAACTGTTTTTCTCTTGCTGCTTTTAAGATTCTCTGTCTTTTGCTCTTGGCATTTTAATTATGATGTGTCTTGGTGTGGTCCTCTTTGGATTCCTTTTGTTTGGGGTTCTCTGTGCTTCCTGGACTTGTAAGTCTATTTCTTTTACCAGGTAAGGGAAGTTTTATGTCATTACTTCTTCAAATAGGTTTTCAATATCTTGCTCTCTCTCTAGTTCTGGCACCCCTATAATTCGTATGTTGGTTCGCTTGAAGTTGTCCCAGAGGCTCCTTACACCTTCTTCATATTTTTGGATTCTTTTTTCTTTTTGTTTTTCCGTTGAGTGTTTTTTACTTTTTTGTATTTCAAATCTTTGACTTGATTCTTGCAATCTTCTAGTCTACTGTTGGATTTCTGTATAATATTCTTTATTTCAGTCAGTGTATGCTTAATTTCTATTTGGTTCTTTTTCATATCCTTGAGGGTCTCCCTAGATTTATCTAGGGTCTCACTAAATTTATCGGCGGTTTCTAGAAAATTTTTGAAAAACCTTATAACCGTGGTTTTGAACTCTATATCCAGTAGTTTGCTTTCCTACATTTCTGTCATTTGTGACCTGTTTCTTTGTCTCTGCATTTTGGCTGCTTCCCTGTGTTGATTGGGTGGCTTTCCTATAGGGCCCAGTAGCTCAGCCTCCCCAATTACCTGAGTTAGACACTCTTGGTGCACCCCGTTGTGGGCTGTGTGCACAGTCTTGTTGTAGTTAAGCCTTGATTATAGTTGCTATCACTGGGAGGAATTGACCTCCAGGCCAATTGGCTGTGAGAATCAGCTGTGTCTGTGGTGGGAGAACTTCTGTGGTGGAGATACCCTTATGGGGCAAGACTTGCTTCAGTGGGGCTTTGGTGCTCACTGAGTCTGCCCCGTGAGTGTGTCCCTTATGGATCTGAGGGGTTGTAATCTGGATGGTCCCACTCTGACCACTGGGTACACTGGCACTTGGATCTCTAAGGAGGAGGCATAGGTAAACACCTGAAATTGCTGTCTTGAACAACCACTTCAAAAATACAACTAAAAGACAAAATGGACATCATCCAGAACCACAGGAAAGCTGGCTGAGTGGAAATTCTACAACTAGAAGGAAAGAGAAAAGCATACTGAGACTCAGAGGAGGTTCAGAAATAAGGTGCAGAGGTAGGGAGGCGCGCACGGAAAGGCCTGGCAACTGAGGACGCGGCTGTCTTTTTCAATCAGGAGGGAGACACACGCTCCCTCTCTGAACTCCAGTTCCAGGCTAGTCTCTGGGGACCCAGACTCATATGGGGAGAAATTGGACTGTCTGGCAGCGGACAGAACTCAAGGGCGGCTTTCTCTCAGAGGTGCTTGCAGGGATTACTGGGACACTGAGACCTGGGGCCTCTTAGGGCAGGACTGAGGATCAGCCATAGCTGTTTGCTCTGCCCTGTTGATTTCCTGAGACCCCACACCACCCAAGCTGTGATCAGAGGCTTTTGCATATGAATGATCTGGCCTTTTGCAATCTAAAATTACCTAACAAACTACAGCTGGGTCAGAATGACCCAGAAATCCAAAAGAAGGCCCAAGGCCCCAGAGCAGCTTGCATTGCTTCACAACTGGGCCTCATCTGGGCACCTCCAAATCCCACACAAAGAAGAGGAATCTGCAGATCTCTCCATAGCTCCTGCTGGGTAGCCTCAGGCAGAGTCTAAATTAGCACCTCCTTAGAGATTCAAATGTTAACATTTTGATTTCCTTAAAATTCCCGTCACTTGGAATGACTCCTAATATGGAAAATATGTTTAATTTAGATTAAAAAAATAAATTCTGGCTAAATATAAAACTATATTATTCACATGCTTATACATAGCAAATTATCAGAACAACAAGACACTATCATGAATTGTTGAATCACTAAGATCAGATAAAGTGCACTTTACATAAAGAGTACAGTTTTATGGACAAGCATCATCAGTTCTATGTGACTGCCTCCCAGGTCATACAATATAACATGAAATCATATTCTATATACTCTTTTGCATCTTTCTTCTTAAACTCAACATTATT